ATTTTTTTTCAACAAAACGTAGTCTTTTAAAGAGTTTGATATATGAAAGTTTTTTAAAGCCTTTGTGTTTAGCATCACTAAACCCCGTTTTTCATGGGCTTTCATTTGGTATAAAATTCATCATACCTCCGACTCGGGATTATATCGTTACCCCCCTTGAATAATATTCTTTCCGACCCTGTAGAAGGATTTAAATATATTATATCGTTGTCCACCTGATGAAAATGTTAAACAATCGATAAAAATTTCGTTACTTAGAAGATTTTCATTACAAGTTACTAAACTTTTCTCGTTTTCACAATTGTAATTAGTGATTGAATTATTCTAATACTTTTTTCATATCTTATCTATTATAAAGAGGAGTTCATTATCAATTCTTTTTAAATAAATATATTTTGCTGTGTAATCTTATATTCACTTGTTACATTACATATGTAAGAAGGATGTGGGTATTATATTTGTATATCAATCTCATTCACATCCCCATGGCTATCTCTACGAAAAATCATGATTTCCCTACTCTGTAATTATATAGAAATCAGAAAGTACTTGATGAACAATAAAAATTTATTTTTCAGCAAACATATTCACGATTTCTCTTTGCATCACAGTATTTGCATTTGATGTGTTTTGCTGACGCTTCTTAAATATATAAAAACCAATTATAGACAAAACAATAACGATAACTGTTGAAGGAATCATTTGATGGTGATATTGTACTATTTCTTTTAGGTGAGCAATAAGAATCAATATTCATACATTCTCGTGTCAGTCCATCGATAATTGATTGATTTGATCGACAAAGTGATTCCTGTTCTGTATAAGTTATATTTTTCAACATAAATATAAAACAATTACATGGATGGTTCGCATCAAGAGATAAAGTTGTGTGATTAAAAATCTTAAAGATTGGTTTTGATAAACAATAATCATCATTATTGAATTGAATACATCATTTTCACTTATATGTCACAATCTCGCGTATGTCAAAAACCGTTGTGCTCAACAGTAACTTAAGTTGTGAATCATTAATTGTTCAGTTTATTGATAATATGGAATACTAAAAAGTACTTTTTCGTAAGTTTCAGAACTTCGTATGACCCCCATCAGCAGCCCTGAGTGCATCGAATCTTTTTCGCATCGACCATCAAAAGTCAATAAAAAGATCTGTATCATTTTCAAGATCTTTGAGCGTATTCTCTTCTTATCTGTTCGTGCATAAATGTGCACATAACTTTCTTTTTTTCTGTTCCTTCTTCTCGTTATCAGTCATCAATAGTAAGGCTTTTGATAATTCACAGTAAACATTACTCAACTCGCTCACGTGCTTTGTGATACTCAAATGTGACTTTAGAAATCGAAAATTTGGCAAAATACATGACATGTTAGTATAGGATATCGTACATTTAGTAAAAACTTGGAGCCATGAAAACTACGATCTATTCATGCGTAATTCGAAAATTAAAAAAAGATAATTTCTATCATTTCAATTGATATGAAACTGTGATATATAAGTGAAAATGATGTATTGAGCTTAGAATCGTTATAATATTACAAACTATATTTGTTCTGACTATGCCACTCGACGTAGCTTTTTGCGGGCTTTCATTTGGTATAAAATTGTTGGGGGTAATATTTGGTGTTTAGGACTGGAAGGGGGGGGGGCGATTTGGTTTTTTTACACCCTGTATTTTACGCCTACCGTGCACTATGGCTTTATACGTTTGCCATTTATATCTAACGTAATCAGAAAGGTGCCTATTTTGTATTTCTATGTATTTCATATCCGACGCGAGATGATGTCCTAATGTAGATTTCTTCTACAACATTCTGAAATCCATCTTTCGTCCTTCAGGATTTCAAGAGGGAGGCATATATAGAGGTGCCTCTTTTGTATTTCCATGTCTTTCACATAGGATGGATCCTAGACGTCCAATTAGCTCTGATTAAATCCCATGAAATCCTGATGAAATCCTTTTAGTTAGGCTGTAGTACCATCATAAACGGCAGTTTACGACCGTTCGCAATCTCCGTAATGTTCGACCTTGGTATAATTTTTTTCCGTTATGTTATACCATGTGATATATTATGATCATTCAAACGCCAACAAGAATCAGTGACATAGCAAAATAATGATTTGTAACTGTTATTTCTTTCATTCCTATTATTTATTAGTTTGGAAAGTTCGATGAGATCAGAGATAGGGCAAGTACACGTACACAAAGTACACGTACAAGTGCTTGTACGTGTATGGATATACTTGTACTTTAGGAAGAATACTGTATACCTGTATTTCAGTCTGCGAAGTGATACCACAACGGACCAATGGGATTTCAGCATTCATTTGCCCATTCTCTTGGCTATTCTCAAGGAGAATCCCTTGGTTACCTGTACCAATGATGTGGTAATCGAGTACGATCTTTCATTCTAGTATAGGTAACTAAGGGTTCTCCCTTCAAAATAGCGAAGAAAATGAGTCTCGAAATCCCATTGGTCCATTTTTCGCTGACTCTGAGCTCAGACAGCTCTTTCCTCCCTATTCTGGAGAGGAAACCTTTGNTTCGAGACTCATTTTCTTCGCTATTTTGAAGGGAGAACCCTTAGTTACCTATACTAGAATGAAAGATCGTACTCGATTACCACATCATTGGTACAGGTAACCAAGGGATTCTCCTTGAGAATAGCCAAGAGAATGGGCAAATGAATGCTGAAATCCCATTGGTCCGTTGTGGTATCACTTCGCAGACTGAAATACAGGTATACAGTATTCTTCCTAAAATACAAGTACAAGTACATGTACTTGCGTCCTATCTCTGGATGAGACAAGCTTTTCAGTATATTTTTACCAGGAGAATTACGTTCATTATCAATATTTGATTATATAAAGTGAAAAAATCTTAAACATCATGTACACGCTGTTTATCAGCGATTAATGTTCTGCAGATTGGGCACTTATCATTTTGGCTAAGCAAGGTGTCGGCACACCTTTCACAAAAACCACGATGACCACATGGAACAAACAAAAAATCGCGTTCTTCGCGAAAACAGATCGCACATTCGGTCTGCACTCTAGATACTTGAGGAGGAGGAGGAGAAGAAGAAGTGGTAGATAAAGCAGAAGCGACGGCTGGAGTGAGCGTCCATGCATCATTAAGCTCGTGCCAGCATATCGCGCATTTGCCGAAGCCAAATCGACCTTGAAGTAAAAACCTATTCATCATGCGTAATTGTTGCTGTAATATTCTCTTGCGGACAAGAAACCTCCGTTCTGCTGCCAAGATACTTTGTTCTTGAGACGACAGAGGAGAAAGAATTGCAGCTGATTTTGGTGCACAGAAGCAAACATGACGAAAAACTTCCGATAAGTTGTTTTCCTGACAATCACGAAATAGATCCGTAAACATCCAGATGATGGTCTTTGGATTCTGTCGAAAAGCGAGCATGCGTTCTCGCACCATACGTGATAAATCGTTTATGGTATCTTCTGAGCGATTGTCATTAGTCTCTATAACATCTGTCGAAGAGACAAAACTCCCGGGCCAGACGTCGGTCGATGGCCAACCCAAGAAATCTTTCCAGTTGGAAAGACCATATACAGACTGACAGGTTCGATGAATATCCTCATGTGCACCTTTATGTTGATAGCAATAAATGACAAATTTGCTGTCCTTGTTTTTCGAAGAACGACCCTTGCCAGTATATACGGCTTCACATGGTCGAAACTCATCTAACCTATTATCTAACAATGCCAATGCATTTTCGCATTGTTCATGAATTATTCGCTCCGACATAAGTTCACGTTGGCCGTACGCTTTTGCGGCGAGACAGTGTGCTAAAATTCGAATAGCAAATTGAGAGCAATCAGCAAACCATTGTGGAGAATGAATCGGACGCTGATTATAGCGAAAAAGAAACCCACATACAGTCATTTGAATTGTCTCATTGTCATCGCGTCCAACAATTTCGTTCAAAAGTGTGTGTAATGATACTGAATGGCCACGTTGTACAATCTCGAGAACACGCTTCAATAAATATAGCCACTGAGCATGAGTAAGCATTCGCTGAAAATTAAGGTCCCGAACGGACGTAAATAATGCTTTTAAATCAGCCAGTTGTGTGTCAAAAATTTGACGTCCATCTAAAATACCACCTTTGGTGCGCTGTAGTTGCTCAGTGTGGGGTAAACAGAAACATTTAATATCTGAAAAATAGAGCTTCAATGTCTGTGCTTCTTGGCCGTGAATGGCAAAGAATTTTTCCGTGACAATTTCAGATGAAACCGATTGAGCGAAAGAAGATTTGTTTTGTATAATAATGAGTAGTGGACGATGTGGCATTTGACTGACACCATCATTTGCTTTTAGAGCGAACTCACGACACCGAGTAAGATAATCAGTTGAAGCAAAATCGTCACTCCCTAGTAACATGACAACATCACTCAAAATGTAAGCAAGTTTAGGGAAGTAATCTGTGACAGCTTGTCGCCGTTGTTTAGCTTTTTCTGCTGATCCTGTGAAATGTTCAAAGCCTCGTCGTGCGTAAAGAAACAACGGAAATGCGGATCCCTTTTCTCCTTCATAATCTAGTACAAGAGTCTTGGTTCGGTTATTTGTTACACATTGGGACACATAACAGTTGACATTAGCTGTTGTGGCACCCTTTTTTTCACCTTCATCGACGCTGACTGGACCATCGATTGCATTCTCATTTGACGAATCACTAAATAAATGTCGTGCAACAAAACTTTTCCCACTCGAAGTATTGCCTAACAGACTAATGACAAAGACTTTGTCTTCCTGAAATTGAATAGATTCATCTAGCGAGACATTGTCATCATCAGTCGAAATATTCTCATCGTTCTCACTGCCACCGTTCGTTAACTCATCTTTAATTTGTTGCCATTGAGTGTGGAAAGCGTCACCTACATCAAGCTTCCACTTGCCATCTGTTTCATTAAGTGCCACAATTTCATTTTTCTGTTCGGCATATGCACGCGCTTGTGTTTCAGCATCTATATCTGGTACGGTATAATCTGATTCTGTAGGCGATGGTGGAGCGGATGGTTCAGGAAGAGTAGTAGCCATTAATCTATAACCAAAATCTTATAGTTAGTTTGCCTTATACACATTCACAGTTAAATAAAAAAAATAATAAAAAATGTGCTCGGATTTGTGTTTTTCCTTGTTTTAAATATATGTGCGCGCATGGGTATTTTACCGGTGACACAGTGATTATAAGTCACATGAATAAAGATAACTGCAAAAAATGTAACTGTAAGAGAATATATAGTAGGGGAAGAAAGTTTAAGGCACTTTAATTTTGAGTTTTTTTCGACAACGAGAATAGCTCGACGAAATCCAACTAGTGAATCGGATAGCCCGTGAAATTCTCTATCGAATGCAGTATGTGTCAAGTATTCAAAAAAAAATTTTTCAAAAAATTTTTTCAAGATGCCGAACCTCCCATTTTTAGGTCGTAAAAAAAATCGACAAAAATTNTTTTACAAAAACATATATAGAGCTATAGTAGATTGACTCTCATATCGTAACAATAAGTCAATAGTCTTCAACAATAGTCCGTTTGCATAAACACGAAAGAAAATATCGTAATTTTCTAATCGAATACGTTACTCTTCTTGGGATCTGTTTTTTTTTCAGCCGTCTACTCCTGTATCATCGTCGATGCCTACCGGGGGGACAAAAGTTTGTTACTGACAAAGGTAAACAGACAGCAGTTGGTGAACAGCATGAATTAACAATACATATGGAATTGTTTGAGGAACAAGTATTTGTCACGTTATCACAGAGTTCTAAAACTGAGCATTGAACACCTGGAGCACAATAACTAACATTGTTTATTGAAAGATAATTGAAGCAAGGTGCTGGTGGTAAAGAACAAGTATTATTACCGGTTGAAGTTACATTACATTGCTGTACATAACAATTGGATGCCGGATTCGATGCAGAATGAGTTGCTATTGATAATGTAAATTGTACATCAACATTATTTTGATGGCACGAGTAAGTAGATGCTAGTGTTGCCGGCCCTAGGAGAAGGTTTTACACTGATAGCGAAAAGGAAATGAGTAGTCATACCTTTCAATAGGAAGAAGCAGATAGCGACAAACAGCCGTATTCGAAGTTCCATAAATTTCGGTGAAATGAGTGAAAAAGAACTGTAAACAGAATCTTTTTGATTTCAAAGAGAAAAAAATCTCTGTATTGAATTTGTTGTTGCAAAAGAGCAAAAAAAAAACAATGTTCTCTCGACGTGAACCTTTTTATTTTTCATTCACTTTTAGCTAGTAAAAACAAAACTATTTCAGAGAACAATATAATTGTTGTGTTGATTCATTTGACAAGCGGACTATCGTAGAAAAGAAAGCCTTATGATGATTCATTTTCATTTTCTCCCGAAACCTGAGTGTGTTGTCTGGAGTGAGGATGAATTCATGATTTTTTTTATTCGCTCTTATTATATTGTGTTTGCAATTGAATCGCCAAAAAAAGAGACGTCATGTCGTAAGTTGGAAATTGCATGCAGCTAAGCTCTGTCCTCCTCCTTGGATTTGTGTTTTTTTTGTTTTTCGAAAAAAAATCAGTCTGATCGTCATACGAGGTTCTTTTTATTGATGCATTTAAAATAGTTTTCTGTTCTGGACAACATACCTATTGGCATAGTCACACGATCCTGCTAGAGTAACACCAAGGATCTATTCTAGATGTGAAGATATTGCCACTGCTAAATGTCAATAAAGATTTGTAACCAACGATAATGTTCGAACAGGTGCTGTATTATCAGCGTGTATCGTAAACTCGAATTCTTTTGATTTCATCGATGATTATTGAACAGCACGAGAAAAAGTTACACTTCTTCATCTATGTCTTTGGATATTTTAGTTCTCTTGCATCTTTTCTATAGCGTGAAAATATGCTATATTTATCATTTGATTCTGTGCGTAAATGCGAATGTTTGGACTTCTATATTCGACATCAGATATTTTGTTCATTAGGAAATAATTAACATTTTGCAATAGAACATTGTAGATGTGATTAAAAATGAAAAACTGACTGATACATTCTCATCCTTAGACGAGAAATTCCAAGATTTTCGCGATGGGGTGCTTAATTACCGAGTAAAATGTTCGATCTTATCTACTGACACGTTCGTGATCAATGAGTAGAATGAGATCGTAATTCTATCCTATCGTTCCTTATTTCTTATCTAATGGCACGTTCTGACAACAAATTGTTTTCCTAACTAAGACATCATTCGTCTCCTCCCCAGACGATAACATACTATGCTCATTCTCTCCAATTATATTAAAATAGTTCTTTCTCATTAATATCAATTTATATTCACAAAAAAATATCTTTTTCATTTTAAATCAGAAGTTTGCCTACGATGGGTGAAGCAAGAGATCTTGGTAACCCCTATGAACTGCGTATATCCGTTTCAACGCGATTTTGGCTCTATTTGATTCCGAATATTTCTTCAGTTTTTTGCTCATTGTTTGTTTTGTATCATTTTCTGTTTGACCGAACACTTCGTCAAGCATTAAACAATCATATTATGATTGTTCTTCTATTCATTGGCTTGATCTATGAAGTAACAAGTGTTCCGTTGATGCTTAATTTTTATCAGAACGGTAATTCGTGGACATTCTCGCCACAGTTTGCGCATTTCTGGACATTTGTTGATTATCTGTGTTATTCAACACAAATTGTCGGTTTCGCTTATGCGTCAATTGAACGACACATTCTCATATTCCATTCCAATTGGGTATCGACAAGGAAGAGACGTTTCTGGATTCATTATGTTCCATTAACATCAGTTGTAGTCTATCAAGTTGCCTATTATTTTTGGATTATTCTTTTTCCGTTTTGCGAAGAAATTCTTCGTCAATCACCGTTCAATGGCGTCCCCATGTCTTGTGCATTGAGTAATCCGGTGCTCTACAAATACAACACGATTGCTCATCAATTTCTTCCTGTCGCCCTTATCATTATCTTAAATATTGCTCTACTTTTCCGAGTTTTATGGCAGAAATCTCGTTTGAACCGTTCAGTCGAATGGCGAAAACAACGGAAAATGACAATTCAATTGTTATCAGCATCGATTCTCTATTTTATCTTCATGGGACCAAGAACACTGTTTCAGTTTTGTCGATTTCTTGGCTTAGAAAGCAACGATATCTTNCGACACTCTCATTTTCATCTTTATTCTAATTTATAAAGTGCTTAACAAAGCTGGATCTTTCTTCAAATCAAATTGGTGATACCGGCGCACAGTATTTAGCCGATGCGCTACGAAATAACCAAGTAACAGATTCATCATACTTTCTATAAATGCACCCAGCATTGCATCTTTCTTTCACAGACATTGATCACGCTGAATCTTGAAAGTAATCTAATGCAGAATACTGGTTTGGAATATTTACACAACGTCCTCAGAGATAATCAAGTCAGCTTACCATAAGATCCTTTATATTTAATCAGGGTTTCTTCTTTTATATAGACACTCAGGGAACTAAAACTCGCTAAGAATCCTGGTAGCTTTGGTATGGCAGTGAGTGCGGCAATTCAAATACGGAATAATCAGGCGATCACGACAATTAGCGTCCAATATGGCAGTATTGATGATGAAAGTATTAAGTTTGTAAGTGAAGCTTTACTTCACAACCAAGTGAGATAAATCATCTATTTCTTTGGTTAATTCTCACGTGTATTCGTTGTATGATAGACGGTGTTCGAATTGAATCTTTCGTCTAATAAACTTGGTGATACTGCAATGCGAAATTTATGCAATGTGTTGCAAAATAATACCGTAAACAACTTCTTTCGAATTAATATATCTGATGATAAGAAGGGTCTTTCTCAATAGACAATTACCTCAATTGATGTTTCAGGGAATCAATTTGGAGATAACGGAGTGAAATATCTGGCTGATGTCTTGAAAAACAGCAAAGTAATGGATTCTCTTCGATTTTGCCTATTGTTCGACTTTTAATCTGCAGACGCTCATCAAGTTAATTGTCAACAGTTACGATTTCAATGATGACCGTCGAGTCAGTGATATTGGAGCACGATACCTAGCTGAAGCTCTGAAAACCAATAAAGTAGTACCATTTGACTTGCTTGTTGTTTTCACTGAAATGAACACCTGATTTTCTACAGACATTACAAGAATTAAAGTTAAATATGAATCCCAGAGGATACTGTGCAGTTCTACAAGAAGTTGTGAAAGCAAGAAATAAGGTGAGGTGAGAGCAATTGCTAAAGTCAGTTTCTAATCTTTTTCGTTATTCTTAGAACATCACTACGATAGACTTAGGTGGACATCAAATACAAAGTGAAGAGCTACAATATCTGGTTAGCGAATTACAACATCATCAAGTATGCGTGCATTGATATTATACATTTTAAACGAGACTTTGTTTCTCAAACAGACGTTGACCGCATTGAATCTGCGAGGTAACAGTTTGGGACAAAATGAAGCAAGATACCTTTCTGATTTGTTGAGAAACAATAAAGTAAAATATTACAGTCTTTCCATTAAGTTGATTTATAATCTTTTCTTAGACACTGAAAGAGTTAGACCTCACTTACAACGAAATGAAGGATACTGGAATACAGTACTTAGCTAATGCCTTGTACAGTAATACGGTAATACCTTTAAGTATTTTTAATCATTATTTTCTATCTTTTATCAGACGCTAACAACATTGACTCTTGATGAAACCAAAATTGGACATGTTGGAGCGAAACATCTTGCCAATGCCTTAAGAAACAATCGAGTGATTTATTGTATTAATATGATTGATTTTTGTTAATATTCAACTTTTTATTCAGACACTCCTTACACTTGACATAAAATCAAACCACATTCACGATATTGGTGCGCAACATCTGGCTTCTGCTTTGAGAACCAACCGAGTAAAGAGCTTCAATTTTATTCAGCTGTTTCAAAAGTGATTTGTTGTATTTAGACGCTCGAAGTGTTGAAGGTTGGCAATAACAGCATCTCGAATAAACTACGAAGTCAGTTGACGTCAGAAGACCAAAGATGGTGTTTCACAATAGAACGTCGACATCCTTTTGATGAAGATGAATGGCTTTGTTATGAATCAGATTGATATCTGACTCTTCTATTCGTTTCAAAATAAAACAATTCTAACCTAAATTTAATATTTGTGTTACTATATCACTTGAAATAAATCGAGAAGGAACATGTTCTATACGGTCAAATTAAGTTTGAATAGTTTGTTTTGTTCAAATTTAAATGATAGAGTAACTGAAATCTTCACATATAGACACATTTGTCTTTCATAATAACGGCAGAGAAACAACCATTGGCTATTAGGAAGAAGAGTCATATTCGCGTTCGATACGAGTATGAATCCCGAAAAAATAATCTGACATGTATCAAAAATATCCTCTTGACTGAGTACTCGACGATAATCAAGAAGAAGTATCGGAAAGTTAAAAGAAATCTAAATAATGAACAGCCAGAGCTTTTTTTTCTTTTTGATTATAAAATATGAAAAAAGTCACGGACAACAGGCAGATTAAAAGTCTTGTCATTGAATTGACTCCATCATTCTAATTCTTGCACAAAACCAAGCTGGTGATGGGGAGCTGTGTACGTAGCTGTCGGCATGGTGCTTTGTGGACGTAATTCTGGTTGCGACTGTTGTTGAAATCGAGGTAAATCCGAGTGACCTTCCTGACCACACGGATCTGGTATTGTGCAAATACTTTTCTCTGTCTCTCGCCATATGGCCAAAGTCTTCTCAACAGCTGCAGCTATTGAAAATCCAGATGAGGCTGTCGCAGCAGCCTTTATTTTCATTTTTACAGACATCATGATAGAATTTGCAGTTGGACCGATATTATCTTCGTTTAATTGCACATATTGATATCCTAGTTGACCAGATATTTGTCTTGTTTCATCGGCATTTGTTTTTCCAACATGAATCATCATTCCAGCTATATTTAACCTGTTAGTGTGAATATTCAGTGATTGAGCATCAACACCATCAGCAGTTTTACATCCCGCATTGCGTTTACCGTCTGTGAGGATGTACAGGAATCGTGGAGGATTGTCATAGATTTGATTTAAATGTTCGAAATGATCCAAGCATTCTTTTATAGCATCGAAAAGCGCCGTTTCCTTTCCGACTGGTTCGAGTAACCCTAATCTTGCGGCATGTTCACTATCCACCGTCTTGAATGGAACTCTGAATATCACGTTGGTATCAAAGGTTGCTAAACACACTTTATGTTTTGTCAATTTCCTAAAATTTCAAAAGTTTATCTGTTTATCTTTTTCCCCAACAAGATAACAAACATTTCTTCTTCAAAAATTTTCATCATATAATCTTTCGCTTGTTCAAATCGACTTCTACCAAACCATCCAAAAAGCCAATGATCAGATGATTGCATCGATGTGCTTGTATCAATCAGATAAAGATGATACGAATCGGTTACTGTTTCACTATAATCGTTGACAATGCCTACGAGTGTATAATTCATGGAAAAATCTACTGCCTTTATTTCCTTGCCACAATGAGGCGCAGGACATGTGTTTTCTTTCCTAATGCATTCAAGATCGAACGAATGGCCGCATAAATTATGGGTAACAGGTTTAGTGAATATTTTCTTGCATAGAGCACACGTTACAAGAGAACAGTGCGTAGTATTTTTAAATTCTTTCATCTGTTATCATATTGCTAGAGGAGCTTGTAGATAACGAAAATCATGAAAAACGTTTTTGTCAGGTCACAACAAGAATGAGTAGTTTGGAATGTTCTCTTTGTCATAGTGTGTTTCATAAGCTTGTTATTATTCCCTGTGGTCATACTTTTGACGAAATTTGCATTCAACAATACATCAATTATCATAAAAGAACCTCGGCAAGCAATGAATTTGCCTGTCCGTTATGTCGCACTTTACTAGACATCAATATTCCATTGGTTTTGAATCAAAGTGTACGCACAATAATGCACTCAAAATCAATAACCGAAATCTACTTGATTGATATTGCAACTATGGAAGAACAACAATTAGTACGTTCCTTTCTTGACCGCATTATTCCTGAGAGGTAATTGTTTTTATGTTGGCTATATAATTCATTCGAAATAGGTTTTTTCTTATAGCATCAATTCGTCAGAAGGAACACAAGTGATCATTCAAACGGCGAACGGATTGTTTCCTGTACAAGGAGGAAATCAACGAAGTATCCTGGAAATGCCTATGATCGTTAGAACAGATATGAAAGATACTCTGCGCGATGCGATAAATATGTTACAACAAATGAAACAAGATGCTAATGTGAATACGTGTAAACTTTGTATACTTACCAGGGGTAATAAAATTCGGGCTGACAAGAATATGATCGATAAAAATATCATCAACAAATGTTATATCGTTCATGTTGGCGATAAAAATCTTCGTCTTGCAAGACAATTTGCTAATGATATCGATGGGCATTTTAATCAAACAACGCTGGATGCATTTACCGAACATTTTAGATTTTATTTTTGACTTATTACAAGAGCGTATAGAACATATGTAATTCTATCATTTCATTTGTCTCTATCATCATATCAACGAAATAGAGATTTTAGCTGCAATTTGTTTATCCGCGACGACAACAAAACGAGAAAAACAACGACATACCTATCGTATGTGTGTATATGGGAGAGCGGAGGAATGAAAAACATAGACACCTGACAAAGAAATATACACACCATCATCGACAGTAACGAGCTGCGAAGAGTGGTAAAAAAAAGAATTTTCTCATCACATTCTACCTTAACATCTAAAAACGACTGGGGAAAATCTAGAAACGACTGGGAAAAACTTGTTTATAAGTCGCGTTGGAAAATAGAAAACAAAACCCGAAGACAAGAAGAAGTACGGATTGTAGTAAATACCGAGAAATGCATACATTTATTTACTTCATGACGAGTCATAATACAAAATTTAGCGCAGTTATTTGTAGATAAATTGAAGTATTCAAACAAGAATGCCCAACCGACGTGGTGAGCTCAGATATTTATCCATAGGATTTAGTTATGGTGATTCGAACATTGATATTTACAGGAAACACTGAGAGAAGAAGACGAAGCAGAGAACAACGCAGGGAATCATCGGAATGGAAAGACACAGGTTATATTTGATAACAAACAAATCAACATAAATGTAATTCTTCTAGAGTTTAAAAACGATCGGAAGACTCCGGTAGATTGGTCTCCCATAGACTACGGTGACTATGGCAACAAAGAAGAAGAAGAAGAAGAAGAAGAAGAATATCTTTTCGATGATTCTTATGCATCAGAACAAATCACATCAAACAGTAATCGGCGTCCTATCGTCAAAACGAAATCACCTGTTGTTCCAAAAAGTTTGCCTGAACAGTCAAATTCGTAAGATCACAATTCTGTAGGAAACCTTATTCTTCGGTCATTCTTTAGCGTACATGTTGATGAGAAACATCTTAATAGCCGTCGAGTACCGAAGCGAATCTACAGGTAAATAGCATATTTATCAAAATCAATTAAAAATTCATTCATCTTTCTTTTGCAGGCTCTTTTCCGAAAATAAGTCTAAAACTGAAGTGATGGAAATTTTAAAAGAAATCCAAGATGAAGAAGATCGTCTCCTTCAACTGAAGGATACAGATGGGACCGCAACGACATCGCAAATGCTTAGTTCTTTTCCTCGGCAAGTCATTGGAGAACATTTCAAACGAGGTACGATGAATATTCGTTCTTCATAGTTCATCTTTCAGTAAATTTTCATAAAACAGATGAAAAGCAAGTATTAAACTATTTAGAAACACCAGTCCTGAAAAGATTTCAATATGGCATCTTATTATTCAATTCAGAAAGACAGGTAAGCTCCAGTTATTAGATTTTATTTCGTACGAAAAATGTGTTTAGATATTGATGATCCAAAATCATCAGGGTATTTGGAACCCTCCCATTGGTCACAGGAGAATTAATAATAATTTTCAATTAGAAACAATTATTGAAACAGTTTTTCGCGTGTTCAACACACAAATTTGCGCGAAACATCAATTTACCGATGAAATATTTCATTTTTATGATCTCCACGACAATCAACACACGGATTCTCATAAATATATCGAAAAACGATTGAACCGCAACAATGTACAAAATGACTCTATCGAACAAGTCGGATTATTTATCAGTCTATTTGATGATCCCATACTTAAATTTGAATTACGTGATAGACGTCAAAATCAAGTGAGTTTACTTCACAATAGCCTTATCGCTAAATGTTTGACTCCTTTAGACATGTCAATGGATCTCAATCGATGATCTACTTAAACATAATCAAAGCCTGCAATGCGATCTCATCCAACCGTTCGTAGAATATGTTGAATCTCGAATGTTTGATTTGACTAATCAATTTCAACATTTGATGAATTTCAACAACGACGTTCAACAAAAACCTCTGGAAGACGTTGCTGCGAACCAAACTATAAACACACCGTACCGTTTTTCCCTAGCTAAGCCGAAAAGATGTCTACCGATTAGCGATGATATTTTCAGTCGTGCTTCTCAGTGTATTGAATTTGAAATCGATAACAATTTAGCTGTAGTTGATTATAACAATTACAAACCTGAACTTCTCGTCTCATTCAATATTACACAGCGTGTTCCTACTGATCATATGAATATTGGTCAGTATGATCAATGCATTCCGCATAGACTTGAAATTCCATATTACGATCAGCCACGGGTGAATTCAACCTTTCCAAATCGAATACGGAAAGCATTTATTCGTCAACCGAAAAAGACTTCGATTCTTCCAATCCTAATCGCTGCGCAACGTCATAAAATCGATATTCATAAATATGACGTAATAAGCGAAAGGAATTCCTTGACGAAAATCGCCCTGAATAGGGCAAAATATGTGATGGGTGTGACGAAAATCGGTACAACATTATTTCTCAGACGTCACGATAAACGAAGTATGGATCTCAATGCCAATGGATTTCGATTTGAACGAATGTGTTCACGACAATACGATCAACAGCTCAATTTTAAACAATTGATCGAGGGACAAATTGGCGATTTTGCGACACTGATCACAGCACAAGCCGATGCAGTCCATAGACCAACGCATCGAGCCATCGAACTGAAATGTCGATCGAGCGGAAAGAATATCAGCAATTCAACAGATTTTTGGTTACAAGCATTTCTTGGTAAGTTCGTGGGCTGGAAGGCATATTTCGAAAATAAAATTTTGTTTAGGTGCCACGCAGTCAGTGATCGTGGGTATCTGTACAAACGAAGAACCACCACGACTCAAAAATATTCGTGAATACCCTACTCCGAATATCATTGAAGATGAAGTCAAAAGCAAACTTTTTACACATCTCCATCAAGTATTGCATTTTCTTCGAAACAATGTTAACCAAGATGAACTCCATCTACTTTCTCGTCATTACGATCCGAATCTTGGAAAATATGTCCTATATCTTTACAAAGTGGCTCATCAAGATGAGCAGCATTTGACATTTATTACACAAGCGATGCTTACAAAACTGGGTTTTCACTCAAAATAGAAGAAAACGACGGATGATACGTTTTAGTGCAAGACGATAAACAGAGCCAGTGAGTGTGTATAAATAGAATGAAGTTGAATGAGTAACACAGATAAGAAGTACAATTTGTGAATAAATCAGATTTTCCACAGCTACACGATACGAACTTTTTAGAATGTTTGATGTCAAACTGGCGTAAGCACGGTAAGTTCCAAATGGTAAATCCAAAGCCAGCACAACGAAAACCTAAATAAAAACCATTGTGCACGCAAAGTCAAACCTGAAAGAGATCGCTCACTTGGATAAGTAACATTCGGGTCAGATTTCGATCGTTAAACCTGGTCAACAATCGACTCCCGCTATTTGTTGTTGGTTTTCTCACCGGTTGAACAACTCTCATTCGAATATTTCGGATCGTCATCAAACCGAAAGTCGCCAAACAGATACTAGGTAAAATAATATCAAATAGCAACGCTGCCCAATCATTAAACATCCGACATGGAATATTTCGACCGTAACAAAGTACGGGAACATTCGGAATACTTCCTTCAAAACAGTAAATCACTTCCACAAACAATAGACAAAAGAAAATGAACATTCCAAGGATAACTCGTTTTGCCATTCGATTAGTACTTAATTGACGAACCGTGATCGAAGAATGACTACAGAAATATCGATCGATATTCGCTCCAACAAGACACCATGCACCCATTGCCCATGTAACATTCAGAATAAATTGACGAACTTTACAAGCGACCTGATTTTCATTCGGCCAATTGACACTATAACTAAAAACACAAGAAAAAAAGAATCATACTTTTCTAATTGTCTTCATCAACTAACCCTTGCAAAACTCGAGTTAAAAACCCCGACCAAATGAATATTAAACTCGTTATCGACGACCATGAAAGATAGACTGCACATGGTTTCTTTTGAAACGAATGTTCTTTTAACACAAGAATATTAAGCAGATTACCAATCGTTCCGAATAAGAGTAGCAGTGCTGCTCCGTGACGATTGATTTGCATTGTCGCATAATTAAGGGAAGAAATCAACTGAATATCAGATGACATGTCACTCCTTTCTCAATCGTTGATTAGAAAAATGCAAAAAATGATCTTCTCCGTAAATTTCTATGGGTTTTTCTATCCACTAACAAAGCCACTTATATCCATCGCATGTCAATTCATATCTAAACTGCGAGAGAGAAATAATTAAAGCAATTAGCTCAATTTTTGAAGCCATCATTAAATTTTAACGCATCATTCTCCTTCTCATTGACGACTAAACATAGAAAACTGACAATTAGTGGGAACCATTTTCACTTCAAGTAAAACTTGTCGCTTTTGAAGTTTATTCAGATATTTGATGTAAAGTACTCTTCATCCAAGCTTATTGTCCAACACAGGCAATAAAGTACGGAACGCAAAAATAAAAGACATTCTGTGCACGGACATATCTGAGAGAACATTCTATAATGTTATCTATTCGTCAACAAAATATTTCGGTAATACGATTTCCTTAACTTCAATCGTTACTAAAACGAAAATTATTTTATTGGTAAATTATCGTACTGTTGCGCAGTCTCAATAAACCCTCCATATCCATTCGCCGATATGGATATAATCATTCTCCACTAACGATTGTTGACTATGATATATTGAATCAGATCCGAAAGAAAAAAAACGAATCGATTTTTATCTCCGTCACTCCCAAGATGGTTATACATTAACATTAATGATGTACGACAAAGAACAGGTAAACATTGTTTGATACTCGTAGTATTTAAATGAAAATCGTTACAAAAAAAAACAACTCGATAATTACAATCGTTTGAATTTTTATTTTAGATTATGTTTCGGATGAACTTCAAATATTTAAAAAAATGAATTGCACATTCACAATGAGTGAGTATAGATTGTGTTACCATTATCTATTACAAGAGAAAAGATGAATCGACAAAATTATCAAAGATGACAATGCTGAATTTTTATCATTACTGCGCATTTAGTTTTGTTGCGTATAAATACACAAATCTTATTTTTTTGCACTTGTATACGTATTATTTAAAAATTTAGCAATGAGGGTACGATTGTTCTTATGAATATAGAAAACGTAAATCTATTGTTTTAGTTTCTTGTTTTCTTTCTTCTACTCGGTACAGTATTTGGTGGTTTATCATTCGAATGGGATAAATTCAAACGAGATTATAATAAACAGTATAAGACAATTGCTGAAGAAAATCAACGCAAACAGATATTCATTGAGAATGTCAATCGAATGCGTGCTTTTCAACAAAATCATCCCGATGCCACATTTACAGTGGGAATCAACCATCTTATGGATCGACGCATCGAAGTACTTCTTCGTTGTAAATAATAGCAGATGGTATACTAAGAGTATTTTATAGGAACTTGCATCTGGAACAAAACTTCCTCGTGGAATTCGTTCAATTTCACGTGAAAAGTCAATTAATGTAAAAGACTTGCCTGAAACTGTCGATTGGCGTGTGAAAGGTGTAATCTCACCTGTCTTCACCGATAAAATTGGACTTGACGTCACTGCAGTTGTTAGCACCGGTAAATAGAAATAAACGCAGATTCACCACATGATTTCTCCTCTCATTCGATAGAACTGGTCGAAACACTTTATGCCATTGAAACTGGTAAACTGATCAAAGGTAGTATTTCACAAATATTTGATTGTTGTCCACAACCGACCGATGCTTTTGACTGCATACAAAAGAATACGAATGGCATTTGTCCTGATAGTGACTATCCAGCTTCACTTGGTTCTTGCAATCTGACTATATGTAAACCATTTGCCACAGTTAGTATCTGCATTATTTTTCCAAGATATGAACAAGAAAAGATTCTTTTCGATTGACAGTTTGACAAAATCAACAGACTCGAGGGGAAAAATGAAGATATCATGAAGGCGTGGATTCAAGAGTCTACACTGTGGGCAGAACTTAATGTTGTCGGAGAAGGTTTTCAAGAGTATACCACGGGAATTTACGATGTACCTTCATGTACAGAAGGACCTATAGATTACGTGGTAAGAATATGATATAGAAATGTTGAACATTTATTGACGTAAGACTTTACTTTCAGGTGCAAATTGTTGGATATGGAGTTGAAGCGAATAAACCGTATTGGATTTGTAAACATAGCTGGGGTAAATCATAATTTTAGACTTAAGTATTTTGATTATTCTTGTTGGATTTTTAGGTAAAAATTGGGGCGAGAACGGCTTCTTTCGTATTGCACGTGGCAAGAATATGTGCCGCATCGCTGAAAACGTTGTACAAGTCGCTAATACAAAGAAAAGTGACGGTGTACGACAATATAATTTCATTTCAATTCCGATTGTTCTCATAGTGGCACTCGTTTCCCGGTTGATCAACTGATTGCGATTAGACTTCTATGTTATATTTAGTATTTGTTTTCTTGCTCTGCAATAAACCAATGCTTATAATTATAGTTGAAAGATAGATAGTATTCAATAAACTTGCTTGTTATCTTCCTGCATAACACTGTAAGGTATTTGAATATAGTGATGCAGTGCACACTCTCCTTTCGTCGCCTACACCCACGTTTGTCATTAAATTTGTCGATTAAAAATTGGACAACGTAACTTTTTCTGACGCAGTGGTTTTAAAAACCTGACATTGAGCAAATAAGTGTAATCGATTCAGAGAATAACATAAGATCACCAAAAGATAGTGAAGTCACACATTCGATCGATAGGTGAATGATAAAAGCAATTAAAATATTGCACATGACTCATTCCTTTCGATTCTATCTTATTTTTACCATGACCACGCAAAAAAGTTAAAAAATACGTAAATGCCTTGAATGACTTTCGCCCACTCTTTTATGAAGAATATATCGTTATATATGATAGGGAAATGACATCTCATCATTGTAATTTAAAGCAATATAGAAAATGGCCAACAATCATCGGAATTCAACAATGCTTATGAAAAATCATCATAAGAGCCATTTGGCTTATGCACCTGCCAATTATACTTCAACTTCTCAGCCATCGTTTAAGGGTATTATACACATGAAAAATCCTTCGATCTATCCTGGTCTGGATACTTCACGTCATCATCATCATCACCATCATCGGATGGTTCGTTCAAATCCGTCACCACCAATGATACGAGGTAATTAAAGATAACTGTTTCCTTATCTCGACTCTATGATGTTGTATCGATCAGAGGGGGAAAACTATGATCGGTTATACTTTTTATCGAAAATATTAACCGTGAAATGATGGTATAGAGGGTACACATAGACATATTTGACATTATCGTTCTTCTATCGTAATGAGAAAAGGTAGTTAAAATAATAACGTGTTTTTCTTCTAACCATTGAAAACATCAGAATGTATTTTATTCAAAGGATCATCAAGAAACAATCAGCATTTAGCTGAACGAGCAGCTCACATTAGACGCCAACGTCGACACTCTCATGCAACTACTGGATCAATGGGGAATGCTATGATGATTGGTGCTCCGCTCGTTGCTAATGGTTTGATGTGGGGCCTACGACCTGCACCTCAAGGAAATTTCGCAGGAGGATTTAGTGATGTTTTCGGTCAACTAGGTGGTACTAGTGGTTTAGGAGGTGTTGCAACTGGATTTGGTGACATAGGTTCTGATATAGGTGACATTGGTTCAGATTTGGGTGACATGGGTTCTGATATCGGTGATATTGCAGGTGATTTATTTGATATCATCGGTGATATGTTTTGATGTGTAGTCTGGATCTCAGCAGGAATCGATATTGTATTTTATTTTTTATTTATTTCTGTGGAAGTAGGACACAAGCATTTGTGCTTGTCCTACTTCAGATTTAATCTAAAAACGACCATTTCATATGGTCTGTGTTTTGTTTCTTTTTTATATCGTTTTTTTTATGAGATAACTTCAATATAAGAGAAGTGCGTCAGCTACATGGCGAACATCTACGTGGAAACTTCTTCAACAGTAGCTTAGAATAATACTGAGATTGACTTTGTCTACTGGAGAACTGATTCCTAACAGCAATTGTTGTCTTAGAACACGTTTTACACACATAACCAAAAAACTCAAAGCAGAAATTATAAATAATAATCAATTTGATTCTGATTCAGATAAATCCATGAAAGATGTTACCGAAGTTTATCCGATAGTTTGTCGGTGACGATGGTGGTTCCCGAAAACATGTTCACTGTAAGTTACATATAAGCCATTGAATTGACATTTCGAACATAGCTCGGTCATTTTCTCTGAATCTAGTGCGGCTATTTTCGTTCTTTGATTCAAATGTATAAAAGTAAAATATGTATTTACAGGTAAAACATGCGAACGAATAAAGTCACAAATGGTATGATCATTTTGTGTGATTTGTAGGTTCTCTCTTCCTTTTTAACTCATTTTTCGGACAATACTGTGTATATAAATATGAATTGGAAAACTGATAATAGAAGTGATTCAAGCTGTTATATAAAACATACTGGATGCCAGTTGATCTGTAGTATGCCTGATGTCCAACAATCAACAAGGTTACACAGTAGACTACTCAATGACTAGATTCAAGATGGCTGGCACAATAACTGAATGGACTGAAGTTTTCATTCCCATGAAACAATTCCGCCGTCAGAACTCTAACACTTATCAGTATCTAGTTCGTTCAGATCATATTCGTCGCCGGCAATGACGCGAGGTAATTGTAGTTCAGACATGATGACACGATATGCTGTTTCTTTTCTTTCAATGAAACATATGCACAGTTATATCTGATTGTACAAATAGTTGCTGATTGTGGAAACAACTAAATAATTAGTGAATAATTCTACCGAAATGTCTTTTACTTAGTTTCTAGCAGACGACCTCGACGTGTAGAAATTTGTTCAAGATGATTGGGTGGAGTTTTCGTCCGATTGAGTGCATTATTTGATTTCGACGAGCAATATATAGATACAAACATTCAATAGAATTGAGGTGGCTTCTCGTCTGCTTCTATACTCATTGACTTTTTTTTTAATATCACGAACAGTTGGAGAATTAATATAGACTCGAATATCGAGGGAAAGACACAACAGTCTCGTTTGAGCTTTTTCTTGAATATATTCTCTAAGAAAAAGACAAGAAACAATAGCGTTGCTAGTAAGTTGTTATTTTCTTATAGTCTGTACGGCAAAACAAAACAGTTAGAATCAGAAGAGTAACTATTCATTGCAGCGTTTCATCCTACTGTATTGTAGTTGTTTTTGTAGCAGTCTGATCTTCAGACAGAATAGCAGGAATCGTGATGTTAGGTCAAGCCATCATTAACATATTATTTCTTCTTGTTCGCCGATGTTGCAATGGAAATCTATAATAAAGTAATTAGCATAAATCGGTCTATTTAAAAAGAGATAGGAAATAAATCATCTTACTTTCGAAATCGTTTTTGAATACTTCTGATCTTGTCGTTACTCTCACACAACTATTTCTGGTTTTACACCAACGCTTTGTCGGCCGCGTTCACTATTCACGTTTCCCTGATTTTTAATTCGTCGTTTATTCGGAATAACCGTGTGCGGGAAGTTTACATGCGTAAACAACACATTTTACGTGCAGAAGAATCGGAAATGAGTTGCGCCTCCGCTTGAAAACTTATATATATATATAGATACTGGACAAACGAAAAACAATACATCTATCATGTACACATCGTCTGACAACTATTGGAATTATACAATGCTTATGGAAAGCTATTATAGGAATTTAATAAACAGAAATTATCTTGTTTCTCAACTACCCCAATATGCTTTACATATGCAGAATCCATCGTACTACTATCCTGGTCTTGATGGATCGCGTCATCATTTTCGTTCAAATCTATCTTCAATAAGACGAGGTAAGCAAATCATGGCGTCTGAATAGGAGAATACACGACGTGAATGTCTAGAGTACGTAGCTTTTTTTTTCTTTTCTTCTTCGAAAATCACAACTGTGACATGATAGTGAAAAACATGCGAAGTCATATTCGTTTCTTTTTCATTCTTCCTTTATTTAATTATTCAATCAATATTGTAGTTTTTTTGTGTTGTAATAAGAAAATTGACGAAAGACTGAGATTACTTGAATATATCTTACTTATAGGATCATCAAGAAACAATCAACGTTTAGCTACACGCACGCAAACTTATAGAGGTCCCAATGTAATGGATAATGTGGTAATGATCGGTGTTCCTTTTGTGGTAAATGGTCTGATGACCGGTGTGCAGCTTGAGCCTCAAGACAACTTCTCCGGAGGATTTGATCATGTTTTCGGTCAAATAAGTGGTTTTGGAGATTTCGGTGATACAGGCTCGGATCTAATTGACATGTTCGATGTCGGCGGTGATATGTTCGATCTAGTCGGAGATTTTTTTTGATGTAGCGTTCATTCTAAATCACTGGCTGAATTTTATCAGTTTAAAAACTACTATTATCTTTGTAAATTTCATTTTTGTGAGGGTGTGAGTGAGAATAAACGTTGTTTTTTAAACTTTGATTTAGGTTTCTGTATAACAATCTTTCATCGAAGGTACTAGAAAGAAAAGCACACATGAACCGTGTGATATGGGCACTTCTTCAAATAGATTTCATGTCTTTTACGCATGTTACGAGATGGATTGACAAGAGTTTTGTAGTCAATGTATTCACTATTTTTCTTGTAGAATACTTTCATGGCACGTAGTTACGTCTTGCTTTTGACAAACTCTTGTGAAAAGATTCGTTAAAGTAGCCATTTTTTATCTATAAGTTCTTCAACAATTCGACAGCAAACTTCGTCTTGTTTGCAAGAGACTGCACATATCGACTACTCACAATCGAATACGTCTGTGTGTTTTAATTGAAGTATTTTGTTTTGTTTCCTTCCAGATTTTCTCCATTCTTTCATAAAAAATCATTCAATTTTTAATTGGTTATGGTAGTTATATGATATGGATCACGAGACAATCATTTCGAATGATAACCGTTGTCCAGAATGTCGCTATGAGAGTATAGTGACGGTTCTACATTACTCTCTGCACTATGACGTTTTCTCCCTACTATTCATCACTCGAACTACGAAAAACATGCATTAGTTGTCAATCTTCATATATATTTTATTCTAATAAAAATTGCAGAAAAGTTGATATATGTTTCTAAAAAGTTTCTTTTCTACTATCCACAAAATTAAAAGCAATTATAAAATTACATTATGCATCTATGCTTTCTCATTGTATGCGAGGTAAGAGAGTACGCTAGTCATTTCTTTGCTCGACGATCTTACTTGAAAATAAAACAAATCAATATAGAACTCAATTCTGAATTCATAGAAGAAATATTCGAATATGAAACTAGCTTTACCTATATGCACGAAACTCTTGATTGTGTGAATGATGCATCTACGATCTACTAGATATGTGATATTGTTCGCTCTCAAGTTTCTGATGTGACATTTACCAACTGTAGCGAATTACACTAATGATACCATTGAAACAATTAGCGTATGTTGGAACAGAATAAAGAATGAAATGATTTATTCTATATCAAAGTAAAGTTCTTTTAACTCTTTATCATGTGATATATAGAGAAGGAAAAAAAAAGTTTATGCTAACGTGTGATATCTCTATAACACATTTGTGCGAAGACTTTTGCAACAGAGGTTATTACAAGACAATGTTTCGATAATTTTTCTCATTTCTCACCCTTGTTGAAGTACTTGTGATCCTTATAAATATATCACAATTAAGATAAAAGACGAATACGATTTTTATTAATAATATACGCACGTCTTCATTTCCTACCGAAAGAAACACATGAAGAGCTTCTGTCTTTGAAAAACTAACACGTAAAGTCAATTATAGCATGTTTGATGATGAGAGCATAAAATTATTTAATGATAGAGAATAAAAAGAAGATGTAAAACACCATTCTCATATTATTTGAAATAATAGTTGAAAGTAACTACGGAAAATGTTAACTTCTACGTTATTATCTTTTTCCTTTGTATCTCAACAAATTGTCATTTATATGGGTATTAGTCTCTTCATTGCCGGTCTGATCGGTGGACCATTGGTTATTATTGTTTTTCTTAGTCTTCGAACATTTCGACGAAGTTCATGTGCATTTTATTTAACTATTATGTCCGTGGTCAATTTTGCTCAGTTATTTACTGGTCTATTCAGTTATATTATGTTGTATGGTTTTAGTATCGATTGGTCGAATCTATCACTACTGTATTGCAAATGTCGATTATTCTCTGTTCAATCCAATTCGCTAATCTCATTTACATGTTTATGTTTAGCAACAATTGATCAATTTCTAGCAACTTGTTCTCATCCTCGATGGCATCAATACAATAACATTACATTTGCTCGTTATATGGTCATAGGAACAATAATATTCTGGATATCACATGGAATACCATTTATACTCTATTATAATCATACGTTATCATCGGTAACTAATACGCCCATTTGTATGATTACTAATACCATTTTTTACCGATATTTCTATTCCTTTTATTTGCCTGTTCTTACCAGTATTTTGCCTATAACAATTATGATAATATTTGGAGTATTATCATATCGAAATATTCAACGAATAGATCATCGAACAATACCATTGGTTCGACGTGAATTAGACAAACAATTAACAGTAATGGTTCTTGTACAAGTTTTCTATGCTGTTCTTGCTCTCACACCACAACTTATTTACTCGTATTATTCTTTAATTACTGGCACATCCACTGATCAGTTTACATTGATACTTATACAATCCATAAGAAATATAATAACTATGTTTTACTATACTTATTTTATGGTAAGTATTGAACAGGTTCAAATATATGTTTAGTAAAAAGCAATTGTTCATTTTTAGAGTTCATTGTACATCTATACAAGTGTATCAAAACGATTTCGTCAACAACTAATCTATGTTTTATTTACATTGCATTACAATCGATGGAGCCTTCTCAAAAGAAGAAACAATCGCATAGAACCACAAGCATAATTTGACATATACTTTGTATTGTCTGTAGTAAATCTGTTTTGTCAATTAGTTAATAATAAACTTCGATTTGCTCATTAGACATTTAGTTTACTATGAGAGTACTACTTGATAGAGAAAAAGATTTTAAACGAAACCTTTTAGACTGTAGGGTGAGGGTGAGAATCCAATCTTGAGAGTGAAATCCGATTAAAATGGTTTTTTTTCTACTTTTTAACAGATATCTATCCTAGTATTATAAAATAAATTAATTCAAAATATTCAAATTTGAATAACGGTTCGAAGTACTTTTTATTAAGTACATTAATATTAAAATGATAAAAATATTTTAACTAGGGGTGTTACTTTATCTTTACTTTATTTTTAAAGTAAAGATTTTTCTTTATCTTTGTTTTATAAAAAATAAAGATTGACTTTATTTTTCTTCTTTATTTATAAAGTAAAGATTATCTTTATTCTTTATTTAAAGAAAAATAAAGATAAAGTAACACCTCTAATTTTAACATTATCTTATCGTATGTGATAACTAAGATGAAATATTTAAAGAAAGAAAAGTTAAGTAAAACTATGCTTTTAATTTATAAGATCTTGAAAAACAATGCTGAAGTAAATGAATACTAATGTTCTATGTTTATTTTAGATTATACAATATTTTCATCCATTTTCAATGAATTTAATATGTCATTGGTTTATTATTTCTTTACTATCTATGAAATGTTTAGGGATTATCGGAGAAAATAATGATTTGGTTAAGAATACAGATTGTCGTAATGCAAGAACATGGCCTTTCCTATCCAGCTCAATTTGGAATACACCCATTGGTAGTAATGCAAGATTTCATGATCCAGGCATCTTTCGTTCACCATTTCCATTACCAAATAGTTTCTTTTCTGATGATGATTATTTTATTGTTACTAATAGTAATGATCCACTAACACCATGGTTTAATCAAGGTTGGTGGGGCAATCCAGGAGGTAANGGAGTATTGAGAGTTACAGAGTGAGATGAACTCATCTTTTGTTGATTGTTTATGATTTAGAGCAATGATTGCTTCGGATAACAATCGAAAATACATGAATTCTGCTTCCTGTTGATCCAACCGAGATTTTGATGAAGAAGGTAGAGAAGATAACAAGAAATTGGACGCATTGCATGCCGACTGTATTCTTCTTTTAGTATTCGAAGTTTGATCTCGTATTGTGTTACATAAAAGCGTCAAATCAGTAAAAGTACCATTGATTTTGTCGATCGACGGAATTCGATGATCATGGTGTTGATCATTAGGAGAAAAAATGTAAATAACTTTGATTTGAGAGATTTGATGGATGAGTGGAAGAATAATTTCTGTTAATGAATAAGAAACAATGAGATAGATGTGTTGTTGTTCATTCGATGAAATATAATCAACACATTCATCAACATCTGAATAAATTGTGAGGTAGTTGATGATTTGTCGTAATTGAGACTGAATTTGATTGATTTTATGTGTATCAGTGAGTTTGTCATTCAACCAAATCAGACTGTTTTGTTCGAAATTTCTTTGACTTTCAAAATATTCGGTAGACATCGAATATAGGCAACGAAATGCAGCACAGAATGTTTCAATCGGGATGTGAATGACTTCGAAAATAAATATTATTCCTTCTATGTTTCTTTTCTTTCTACGCGAATAATAGAACACTTTGCTGTATGTTTATTTGCTTAACCGATGCAAAATGCATCAGCAAACAGTTTCTCTCTTTCCGAACAGCGCATATTTTAGAACTCTAATTTCTACATTCAGCTTCAATGTGAAACAACTTGTTTTTCCATACCGCATATTGATTATCAAATTTTATTTTTTTGTGATTATTTTGACTGATATCATATGACGGCGTTCGTGACTTATGTGTGCTGTATATATGAAAAGGAACAGAAAAACGAATTCGGAGGCTTCAATGATGCGTGCATGACTTAACGAGTCATACTATACCAATAACGATGAAAATCTTCGGCTACCAGTGTACAAGTTGGAAAGTTTGCAATTTGATTCAATTTTCGATGTTTCTATTCGTTAAAAAGCATATTTTGTAATGTAAATCAAACGAGCGGAATGAAGTCGAAATAATGGTAGTCGTGATTTCAAACAAAGATGTACTCATTCATTTTAGCGACGAAATACAAAGAAATGAAATATTGATGATTTAGTGTCATCGGCATGTTGAAGATAAACATCGTTCGATAAAAAATTTTCTTGCTATGATTAAAATCATCAAGGTATCGATAAGAGCTATAATTAGCTTGAATCAATTTCCTTTTTCGCGCTCTTACTCATACAAGTTTTGAATCTTCAATTCATAAGCGAAGAAGGATTTTTTAGTTTGGCGGGGCAATTCTCGAGAACTTCTTTTTGACTTTTCCACTGAATGAAAATCTCAAATAACCACGGAAAATTAATCATCAGTAAAGTAAAGTGAACCATTCCATTGAAAAAAAATATTTAAGATAATTGCAAACAAGTATTAGCTATAATTCACTTCCTTTCGCGCCGAGTGGGCGATTTCACCGTGTAAATCAAATACTCTGGTATTTTTTTCAGTTTGCCGAACAACATGGTTCTTTTTACTTCCTTTCTACACACACACAGGTACGCGCTATATAATGAGGAACGAACTGCGCATTTAATCATTTTACGTGACTAAAACAGTGTTACGCAGAAACATTTTCTCACCTAATCAGTGAATATACTCACAATGTACGCAGTTTCCAACGGCTACTCAAGTTCTTACTACGGATATACTCCAGCTTATCCCCCGTTCTTTTATGGTAATATGTACATGCAAAACTCTTCGTTATATCCTGATGCTGATGGTGCAGTTCGAGATTTTGGCGGTAANTGTCGCTCGACGTCAAATATCAGGTAACTACAGATGAATACTTCATCGGTAAAGGAATATATTCCATAGCGCGAGTGGACCATTGTCCTTTTTCTACAAAAACGTCTTTTCTCTATCCAATCATTAATTTGCATAAGTTTTTCACCTTTCTCATATTGCTGTTTTATGCTAATCATAATATGAAAATGAATTTATAGGTCCTCTGAGAAACAATCGTCCAATTGGAAATGCACGTTCCATGAAGCCACAACGTCGAGAAAACAATGTGGGCATCCAGATAGCAGGACAGGCAGTCAGACATGGTATTCCTCTTATTTTNACGAAGTCGCTTTTGAACTGTTGAAGAACTTATAGATATAAAAAATAGCTACTTTAACGAACCTTTTCACAATAGTTAGTCAAAAGCAAGACGTGACTACGTGTCATGACAGTATTCTAAAAGAAAAATAGTAAATATATTGACTGTAAAACTCTTTTCAGTCGATCTCATTACATGCGTAAACAACACATTTTACGCGCAGAAAAATCGGAAATGAGTTGCGCCTCCGCTTGAAAACGTATATATAATGATACTGGACAAAAGAAAAGCAACACATCGACCATGTACACATCGTCTGACAACTATTGGAATTATACAATGCTTATGGAAAGCTATTATAGGGATTTAATAAACAGAAACTATCTGGCTACTCAGCTGCCCCGATATGGTTTACATATGCAGAATCCATCGTACTACTATCCTAGTCTTGATGGATCGCGTCTTCATTTTCGCTCAAACCTATCTTCAATAAGACGAGGTAAGCAAATCATAGCGTATGAATAGGAGAATTCAAGACGTGAATGTTTAGAGTACGTAGCTTTTTTCCTTCCCTCCTTTGAAAATCACAAACTGTGAAATGATGGCGGAAAACATGCGAAGTCACATTCGTTTCTTTTTCATACTTCCTTCATTTAATTATTCGATCAACATTGCAGTTTTTTGTGTTGTAATAAGAAAGTTGACGAAAGGCTAAGATTACTTGAATATATCTTACTTATAGGATCATCAAGAAACAACCAACGTTTAGCTACGCACACGCAAACTTATAGAGGTCCCAATGTAATCGATAATGTGGTAATGATTGGTGTTCCATTTGTGGCAAACGGTCTGATGGCCGGTGTGCAGCTTGAGCCTCAAGGTAGCTTCTCCGGAGGATTCGATCATGTTTTCGGTCAAATAAGTGGTTTTGGAGATTTCGATGATACAGGCTCGGATCTAATTGACATGTTCGATGTCGGCGGTGATATGTTCGATCTAGTCGGAGATTTTTTTTAATGTAGTATTCATTCTAAATAAACGTTTTTTTAAACTTTGCTTTAATTTTCCGTGCAACAATCTTTCTTTAATAAGTATGTGCATCTTTCACCGAAGGTAATAGAAAAGAGAAGCAGCGGAAAAAGCACACATGAACCGTGTGATCCGGACACTTCTTAAAGTAGATTTCATGTCTTTTACGCATGTTATGAGATCGACTGAAAAGAGTTTTACAGTCAATATATTTACTATTTTTCTTGTAGAATACTTTCATGACACGTAGTCACGTCTTGCTTTTGACTAACTATTGTGAAAAGGTTCGTTAAAGTAGCTATTTTTTATATCTATAAGTTCTTCAACAGTTCAAAAGCGACTTCGTCTTGTTTGTAAGAGACTGCACATGTCGACTACTCGCGATCAAATGCCTCTGTGTGTTTTAATTGAAGTATTTTGTTTTGTTTCTTTCCAGATTTTGTCTATTCTTTCATAAAAAATCATTCAATTTTTAATTGGTTATGGTAATTACATGATATACTACTAATTCATCACTCTGAATTCATAGAAGAAATACTCGAATATGATACTAGTTTTACCTACATGCACAAAGCTCTTGACTGTGTAAGTGATGCATCTCCGATCTACTGGATGTGTGACATTGAAACAGGACAAAGAATCAAATGATTTATTCTATATCACGTGATATGTAGAGAAAGAAAAAAGTTCATGCTAACTTGTGATGTCTCTATAACACATTTGTGCGAAGACTTTTGCAACGGGAGTTATTACAAGGCAATGTTTCGATGACTTTTCTCAACTTTCACCCTTGTTGGGGGTACTTCTGCTCCTTATAAATACATTACAATTAAGATAAAAGAGAAATACGATTTTTATTAATAATATACGCACGTCTTCATTTTTCACCGAAAGAAACACACGAAGAGCTTTTGTCTTTGAAATACTAACACGTAAAGTCAATTACAGCATGTTTGATGATGAGCGCATAAATTATTTAATGATAGAGAATAAAAGGGAGATGTAAAACATCATTGTCTTGTTATTTGAAATAATAGTTGACGGTAACTACGGAGAATGTTAACTTCTACGTTATTATTGTTTTCCTTTGTGTCTCAACAAGTTGTCATTTATATGGGTATTTGTCTCTTCATTGCCGGTCTGATCGGTGGACCATTGGTTATCATTGTCTTTCTTAGTCTTCGAACATTTCGACAAAGTTCATGTGCATTTTATTTAACTATTATGTCCGTGGTAAATTGTTCTCAGTTATTTACTGGTCTATTCAGTTACATTATGTTGTATGGTTTTAGTATCGATTGGTCAAATCTATCACTATCGTATTGCAAATGTCGATTATTCTTTGTTCAATCTAATTCGCTAATCTCGTTTACATGTTTGTGCTTAGCAACAATTGATCAATTTCTGGCAACTTGTTCTCATCCTCGATGGCATCAATACAATAACATTACATTTGCTCGTTATATGGTCGTAGGAACAGTAATATTCTGGATATCACATGGAATACCATTTATACTCTATTATAATCATACGTTATCATCGGTAACTAATACGCCCATTTGTATGATTACTAATGCCATTTTTCACCAGTATTTCTATTCTTTTTATTTGCCTGTTCTTACCAGTATTTTGCCTATAACAATTATGATAATATTTGGTGTATTATCATATCGGAATATTCAACGAATAGCTCATCGAGCAATACCATTAGTTCGACGTGAATTAGACAAACAATTAACAGTAATGGTTCTTGTGCAAGTTTTCTGTACTGTTCTTGCTCTCACACCACAACTTATTTACTCGTATTATTCTTTAATTACTGGCACATCCACTGATCAGTTTACTTTGGTACTTATACAGTCCATAAGAAATATAATAACTATGTTTTACTATACTTATTTTATGGTAAGTGCTGAGCAGGTTAAAATTTATGTTTAGTAAAAGAAACTTGTTCATTTTTAGAGTTCATTGTACATCTATACAAGTGTATCAAAACGATTTCGTCAACAACTAATCTATGTTCTGTTTACATTGCATTTCAATCGATGGGCTCGTCTCACCAAAAGAAACAATCACGTAGAACCACAAGCATAATTTAAAATATACTTTTTCTTGTCTGTAGTAAATCTATTTTGTCAATTAGATAATAATAAACTTCGGTTTGCTCATTAGACATTTAGTTTACTATCTTGAGGGTGAGGGTGTGTGGGCGAGGATACAATCTTGAGAGTGAAACCCGATTAAAATGTTTTTTCTTACTTTGTAACGGATATCTACCCTAGTATATAAATAAATTAATTCAAAATATTCAAATTTAAATAACGGTTTCAAGTACTTTTTTAAAGTAAGTTTATATTAAAAGGATAAAAATATTTTAACCTTATCTTATCGTATATGATAACTAAGATGATATATTTAAAGAAAGAAAAGTTAAGTACGTAAAACTATGCTGTTAATTTATAAGATCTTGACAAAGAAATGCTGAAATAAATGAGTACTAATGTTTTTATGTTTATTTTAGAGTATACAATATTTTCATCCATTTTCAATGAATTTAATATGTCCTTGGTTTATTATTTCTTTACTATCTATGAAATGTTTAGTGATTATCGGAAAAAATAATGATTTGATTAAGAATACAGATTGTCGTGATGCAAAAACATGGCCTTTCCTATCCAGCTCAATTTGGAATACACCCATTGGTAGTAATGCAAGATTTCATGATCCAGGCATCTTTCGTTCGCCATTTCCATTACCAAATAGTTTCTTTTCTGATGATGATTATTTTATTGTTACTAATAGTAATGATCCACTAACACCATGGTTTAATCAAGGTTGGTGGGGCAATCCAGGAGGTAAAGCACATTGTAACGTTACGGGCAAACTTGTTGGTAATATCTCGTTTCCAGCGAATTTGATAGTAACTGAATTTGGTAATAATAATGCTGCTGCACTACTACAACCAGATAATCACAGTATAATTAATACACAACCATTATATCGATGTACACCTGGATCACCAGTATTGTCACTACTAAAAAGTGATATATTGGGAAAAGATGATATCATATCGGGTAATGGCACATGGGGTGCACATGGTGGTAGTGGACTTTCTTCGATTGGTGGAACTATTCGATTAGGTGAATTGCTACCGAATTCTTCACCAATTCGACATGCGCTCAAGCTACAATTATATGCAAAACAGTATTACTATAATCAACGACCTGGATTTATTTGGCCTGCATTGAATTGTGATGGTTATGCTTTCGATCCAACAGATCCATATCATTACGGTGGTAATGATATCTATTTGTCACCCGGCTCTCTTCTTGCCATTCCTTCTAATATCTCTGTCAATGTCACAACTCTACCAGGCCAAAAATTATTATTTGTATTAAAATATTATGGCGGATATTTATGTGATGATACCTATGCTAATCGTGGCACAATAAGTACAGAACATGGTGTTACTGATGAATTTCAAAATGTATATGGTTATTCTTTTAATTCTGGCTCAACAGGGCCTGGTGCTGCATGGTACAACGATCTGTTAGCACTATTTCAATCATTACGAGTTGTTATCAACAATAGCAATACAACAATAGGTGGTGGAGGAACACCATTACAACCACCGCCACCACCAATTTGTCCTGTCAACATATGATGACATCAATCAAATAGAATGAATGTTGTCTTTTGTATCTTTCGTTCTTTGGCGCGAGATATTCTACGTCGAGATTTTCAAATTCTAGAAATTTCTTATCTTCTTATAATACATGTGGGCGGTTGAGGGTTAGATTTTAGTCTTTAACCCACACCTACCCTCACTCTCACGATTAAATACATATTTTAATAGTTTAAACGACTTCGGTTCAATGCATGAATTTTCTGGATTCATTTTCGAGTTTTTTTCTATAAAAGATACCAAAGTTAAATTTCTGCTCTTCAGCCATTTGAATGTGAGGATGGTCTGGTGGTAAGATTTTGTGAGCAATATTGGTTGCCAACTTAGAATATTTAAAAGCTGATTCAAAATCACCCAAAGCACCATAACACATTGTAGATGTGATATAAAACAGCGGAAGATCATGATGGCCATATGTAATTGCGATAGCGATGGCTTTCTCATTGTGATCTAGCGCTTTCTTCCATACTTTTTGACCAAAATATAAAACACTCAAACTTCTATAAATCTGTAAGAAAAGTTCATTATTATAAAATGACGAGTGCCTTTTAATACTCAATGCTTTTTCAAACCAGACTATTGCATCGACCACATTATCGTTGTGAAAATGATATTGACCTAATATATACATTAGCATGACAACATATGGATATTCTGAAGATGTATCAACTATCTTCAATGCTAGTTGACATGCATTGTATGCTTCTGCATAATTTGATTGTTTTATATAGACTAATCCAAGCTGAATATACGTATATGCTAGATGGTAGTGTTGTGATGGAAGTGTTCTTTGTTGGATATTGAGGCATTTATTGAAGTACGTCAATGCTACCTCGTATTTGCGTTGTGTTTCATGAATGAATCCAAGATGAGTATAAGCCATTGCAAGTGCCGGATGATCGATCAATGACGATTGTCGGAGCATGTCAATGACTGTTTGAAGATATTCAATTGCTTCTGGAAATTGTTTCTCTTTCTCATACGCTAAGCTCAAATTTACATATGCTGGAATCAGTTTCAGATTATCGGAATGAAGAATATTTTGCTGAATCTTAATCGCTTCGTGAAGGCAACTGATTGCTGCTTTGGCGTTATTTTGATAAGCATACGAATGACCCATATTTGTGTAAACAGTTGCTAACAGTAGAAAATCGAGTGTGCCTGTTTGCAGAGCCTTTTTAGCATAGTATAATCCTTTGTCATAATCCATTTGTTCATTGTATATCATTGATAGATTTGAATAATATCTAGCCATCGATGAACTGTCACCTGGTGTATCTTTGATTAGCATTAAACAATATTCTTCAGCTTTTCCAAGTTCTCCCATCTTCATTAACAAAGCACAGAATGTATTCAAATTATCTAATTCACCAATTTCATCTTTGATATTCTTCGACAATATAAGTAGTTCTTCATCTTCTTCACCATTCATTATCAACCGAACCAACCACACTCCTTCCACATCCGATCTCCCAACTGATTCAACACGGAAAACCGTAGCTACTGAAAACAGTATCTCATCTTCTTCTTCCATATAACTTAACGATCGAATATCAGCAAATGGTTGACGACATTTCTCAATCTCAATCTTTATCTCGAAGACGATCGATTCGATGTTCACATCAGTTGATGACGAGTTTCCAGTAAACATCGGGGCGACATCTCTCTTCGTGCTTGTTGAAAAGAAACTGTTGATCGACAGAAATCCACCAATATTATTTTTGATTCTATAATCAAATTCATCTTTGTTCATGAATTGTCCACGATAAACAACCGAAGGTAAGGACAAGACATTCAGTTGTTTCCTGTGTAAATCTTTCAACTGATGATGAAGATCAGTGATGAAGAATCCGAGTTTGTACAAAACATCGATGCTTTGTGTTCGGAGTGCATTGTTGAGTATTCGAAAGAGAAACGAATCACGTGTGTACCATCGAATGGCATATTCTTTCGAATATCTACGATGAAATTCGTCGATTTTGTCAAGTTCACATTGATTATCGGAGTATTGAGAGTTGCAGAGTGAAATGAACTCATCTTTTGTTGATTGTTTATGATTTAGAGCAATGATCGCTTCGGATAACAATCGAAAATACATGAATTCTGCTTCCTGTTAATCCAGCCGAGATTTTGATGATGATGAAGAAGGTAGAGAAGATAACAAGAAATCAGACGCATTGCATGCCGACTGTATTCTTCTTTTAGTATTCGAAGTTTGATTTCGTATTGTGTTACATAAAAGCGTCAAATCAATAAAGGTACCGGTAATTTTGTCAATCGACGGAATTAGATGATCAGGGTGTTGATCATTAGGAGAAAAAATGTAAATAAGTTTGATTTGAGAGATTTGATGGATAAGTGGAAGAATAACTTCTGCTAATGAATGAGAAACAATGAGATAGATGTGTTGTTGTTCATTCGATGAAATATAATCAACACATTCATCAACATCTGAATAAATTTTGAGGTAGTTGATGACTTGTCGTAATTGTGTCTGAATTTGATTGATTTTGTGTGTATCAGTGAGATTGTCATTCAACCAAATCAGACTGTTTTGTTCGAAATTTCTTTGGGTTTGAAAATATTCGGTAGACATCGAATATAGGCAACGAAATGCAGCACAGAATGTTTCAATCGGGATGTGAATGACTTCGAAAATAAAGATTATTCCTTTTAAGTTTCTTTTCTTCCTACGCGAGTAATATAACACTTTGCTGTATGTTTGTATTTGCTTAACCGATGCAAAATGCATCAGCAAACAGTTTCTCTCTTTCTTAACGGCGCATATTTTAGAACTCTAATTTCTACATTCAGCTTCAATGTGAAACAACTTGCCATTTTCCATATAGTATATTGATTATCAAAGGTAATTTTTTTTTGTGATTATTTTGACCGATATTATACGTCGGCGTCCGTGACTTATGTGTATTGTGCATATCAATAGGAACAGAAAAACAAATTCGGAAGCTTCAATGATGCGTGCATGATTCAATGAGTCATACTATACCAATAACGATGAAAATCTTCGGCTATCAGTGTGCAAGTTGGAAAGTTTGCAATTTGATTCAATTTTCGATGTTTCTATTCGTCGTTAAAAAGCATATTTTGTAATGTAAATCAAACGAGCGGAATCAAGTCGTAATAATGGTAGTCATGATTTCAAACAAAGATGTACTCATTTATTTTAGCGACGGAATATAAAGAAATTAAATATTGATGATTTATTGCCATCAGCATGTTGAAGATAAACATCGTTCGATAAAAACTTTTCTCGCTGTCAAGGTATCGATAAGAGCTATAATTAGCTTGAATCAATTTCCTTTTTCGCACTCTTTCTCATACAAGTTTTGAATCTTCAATTCATAAGCGAAGAAGGATTTTTTAGTTTGGCGGGGCAATTATCGAGAACTTCTTTTTGACTTCTCCACTGAGTGAAAATCTAAAATAACCACGGGAAATTAATCATCAGTAAAGTAAAGTGTGAACCATTCAATTGAACAAAAAATATTTAAGATAATTGCAAACAAGTATTAGCTAGAATTCACTTCATTTCGCGCCGAGTGGGCGATTTCACCGTGTAAATCAAATACTCTGGTACTTTTTCCTGTTTGCCGAACAACATGATTCTTCTTACTTCCTTTCTACACACACAGGTACGCTATATAATGAGGAACGAACTGCACATTTAATCATTTCACCTGACTAAAACAGTGTTGCGCAGAAACATTTTCTCAACTAATCAGTGAATATACTCACAATGTACGCAGTTTCCAACGGTTACTCAAGTTCTTACTACGGATATACTCCAGCTTATCCCCCGTTCTTTTATGGTAATATGTACATGCAAAACTCTTCGTTATATCCTGATGCTGACGGTGCACGTCGAAATTTTAGCGGTAACAATCGTGTCGCTCGACGTCAAATATCAGGTAACTACAGATGAATACTTCATCGGTAAAGGAATATATTCCATAGCGCGAGTGGACCATTGTCCTTTTTCTACAAAAGCGTCTTTTCTCTATTCAATCATTAATTTGCATAAATTTTTCATCTTTCCCATATTGCTGTTTTATGCTAATCATAATATGAAAATGAATTTATAGGTCCTCTAAGAAACAATCGTCGTCCAATTGGAAATGCGCGTTCCATGAAGCCACAACGTCGAGAAAACAATCTGGGCATCCAGGTAGCCAGACATGCAATTCCTCTTATTTTTCGCGGTGCAAGAGCCGGCTTGCGATTACTTCAGCAAGGAAACTTTCAAGGACCTGGGAACGGTTTCAGTCCACTGGGTGCTATTGCTGGTGGTTTAGGAGGGCTAGGTGGAGGCATGGGAGGTGTACCTCCTAGCATAGGAGGAATAGGTACCGGTTTGGGAAATATAGGCGCCGGCTTGGGAGACATAGGCGCGGGCTTGGGAGATATAGGTGCTGGTATCGGAGATATCGATTTTAATTTTGGTGATTTCGACATGGGCTTTTAATAATATGGTTCAATATTGTTTCTGATTATTAAATGTAATCATTTGACTTTGCTTTTATATTGCTTCGTTTTGTTGTTGTATAGATTTACAAATTGCTCGTTTTTAATATCACTAGAGATATGATGAATACATGCGTACTTGTCCTATCTGTTTCATATTGGAGCAAACGTAAATCTATCTCTACTACGCATATGAATAATTTAGAAATTGATCTTTTTTGTAGCCTTCTAAATAAATATTATTACTCATTTTTTCACATTGCTATTTGATCAACCAACGACATGCCGTAGTAAATCGTGATGAGATCTTTCGCACTTCATTAGAATGCAGATGGCTGAATCTGAGAAGCCAGCTATGTCACACAAATGTCACTATAAGATGGTGATTAGAACACTAAATAGACAGATGAAAACAGAAAAAAAAACCTTTTTTTTCCAATTCTACTACCGAACGGCTTTCCTATGCAACGAATGGAAAATTCCATAATATTTTCGTCAATGAGCACACCGTATATACCACATTGAAAAAATGAAAGAATACTGAATCCTTGGTAGGATGCACTCGAGGATCTATCAGTCTGTTAGATGAGGGGTAATGTGCTGTTCAATTCAGAGAGGCTACGCAGCGTGACACGATGTTCTTTTATTTTTGCCGTTGGAAATTCTATTATGTTAGTACGGGTGTGGGTGACGACATAGAATGCATCACGCAAAACAAGAAAGGAGATACGTCATCTATAATGGACATGCAAGTGTCCTTTACTGATTGGTTTAAACGAGAAAGCCTTTCATTAAAGTCTTTTTATTTAACGTAGAAGTGGCATACTCATTTTATTTCTGGTAAATAAAGCGAACTAGTAGTAGGACACTTTTCTCAATTAAGGACAATTAAAAATCAAGCTAATTCGTTCTTGCAGAGATAGAATTTGTCAAATACTTATGCATGTACATATAATTGAAGTATTTTGAAACTGCAAACTATGTGTAATAGCAAAATCATTTCTCAGTGTGAAATTCTTGGTGAATGAAATGTATTTAATTCAGCATTGAGAAATCCTGTGTACTCTGTTTTCGTATGAAATATCTCTAAGCTTATATGAATATAATTTATATAACATTTTCGATTCAATCCATTTTTATGATATTTACTTTATGTTTTACATTGATGTATTCGATGGTTATTTTATTTAATCGTCGATTTCATCATCCCAATAATGTGTTTATTCTCAATATTTGTTTTTCCATCATTATGAGTTTGATTTAAACGATTATTTATGGAATAATATCATATTTCAATATCGAATTCTTGCTTATTTCGAATGTTTATCTAATCTGATATTATTTATTTGTTTTCTCAAGTATTCAAATTCCATTTTCATTTCTCACATTCACGTTTCATCGATACTGCTTTCTCGTACATTATACAACTTACTTTTTCAAGACAAACAAAGTGGACGAAGGTATATATTCTTATTCAATGGATTGTTCAACTATTAATTTCATTTCCGTTTATAATCCGAAGTCAATCAGTAAGTTGGATTTTGTGGCAAATCTCGAATAGACTTCGTCGATTTTCTATGTAATATTGTTTGGTTTTTGTATGACATGAGAATATATTTGTGTATCATTGTTGTTTTTATTCCATTGGTTCTGAATATTCTTTTAAATATTCGAATTTTTGTTTATGTGAAGTTATCGATGAATCGCCTCCAACCAAATGCTAATTCTCTTCAACAAACAATAATTCGAAATTGTGAGATAGTAGTATTGAAACAAATGATCGAGACGTTTTTAATGTTTCTTGTTGGATGGAGTCCGACGTATTTTACAATATTTCTTCAAGAATTCTTTTACATCGATGTTATAGTGCACAAGTTATCCGCAATACTATGTGAATTATCGTTATGTATTCTTATTATAAATTTATTCCTGTACGATCATCAGTTAAAATAATATTTTATTGAGAAACTTCGATTATATTGTTGTTGATGTTGTTGTGAAAGAACATGTTGATGTTTGTTCTATCCTTTTATATTGAAGAAAAAACAAGAAAATGGAGAATAGGGCGGTAAAAAAGCAAAGTGTGAAATACTCAAATCCTATCTTTTCAATACAAAAGTAACGACAATGACAGCGAGTTATTTGTTTTATTACAATCAACATAAAGTTTTATTAATGGCAAATCGAAGAACACGATGGTTATTATGATCGGATACATAAAGATTGCCTTCAACGTCAAACGTAACATCAGTTGGTAGATGCATTTGATCAAACTGCACACCTGCGCCATTACCACCGACAATGACGTCACCTGATGTTTTCCCTTTCGGCCAACGTAGAATTCGATGATTATAACTATCAGCTATATAAACTGTTTCAAATTTATCGACAAATACACCTTCCGGCCCATTTAGTTGATGGAGACCAACGCCAGCGTTCGCACCACCAGCAACAACGGAGAATGGTGCTGCTCCGTTCTCTAATTTTACCACTCGATGATTATCTCGATCAGTCACATAGAGTGATTGATATCGATCAAGAAACATTAGATATGGATGATTCAGTAGAGACAAAATCGTTTGTCCAACAGTTTCGTTTGGCAATAGTTTTACTACTTCACCACGTGCTCGAGCCGACATATAGAAGGAGCCATCGTCCTCTTGCACCAAACCATGAGCATATATACCACTGGTAATCGTATCACCAGTCGAAGCATCACGAAACCAACGTTGAACACGGTGATTTTCGGCATCTGCAACAAACAACGTTTCATTTTCATCGACAACAAAGCCACGTGGACCCGATAGTTGATTTTGATTAGCGCCTAGGCCATTTCCACCCGCTACAATTTCTCCATATCTATCACCAATATGCCATTTTATAATGCGATTATTAACATTATCCGAGACGTAAATCGTTTGATTTTCATCGACAAAAACCGCAGAAGGATGCTTTAATTGATCAAGATTTCCACCATATCCAGCAAGACCAGCTACAACTACACCTATTCGCGCCCATGTGGCTGCTGAGCATAAACCATCACCAGGCCTTGGTGGTGATGGTGTCACTATATGAGTCGAGGTATCTTCGAAATCTAAAAATAATCATTAACGAAATAGAACCATAGTTTGAGAGTCTTACTAGCAGAAGTAATTATTGAAATTGTCGATGTTATTGATGTCATCATCGCGTCCGATACTGGTGTTGTCATTCTTTCAAGTTTTGCCAGTACAATCGTTTGTGTCTCTGAAGAATCTAGTGATGCAGTAGTACTTTCTGCCACTGGTGCAGTAGTAGCTTGTGCCACTGGTGCCGTAGTAGCTTGTGCCACTGGTGCAGTAGTAGCTTGTGCCACTGGGGCAGTAGTAGCTTGTGCCACTGGCGCAGTAGTAGCTTGTGCCACTGGCGCAGTAGTAGCTTGTGCCACTGGCGCAGTAGTAGCTTGTGCCACTGGCGCAGTAGTAGCTTGTGCCACTGGCGCAGTAGTAGCTTGTGCCACTGGCGCAGTAGTAGCTTGTGCCACTGGCGCAGTAGTAGCTTGTGCCACTGGCGCAGTAGTAGCTTGTGCCACTGGCGCAGTAGTAGCTTGTGCCACTGGCGCAGTAGTAGCTTGTGCCACTGGCGCAGTAGTAGCTTGTGCCACTGGCGCAGTAGTAGCTTGTGCCACTGGCGCAGTAGTAGCTTGTGCCACTGGCGCAGTAGTAGCTTGTGCCACTGGCGCAGTAGTAGCTTGTGCCACTGGCGCAGTAGTAGCTTGTGCCACTGGCGCAGTAGTAGCTTGTGCCACTGGCGCAGTAGTAGCTTGTGCCACTGGCGCAGTAGTAGCTTGTGCCACTGGCGCAGTAGTAGCTTGTGCCACTGGCGCAGTAGTAGCTTGTGCCACTGGCGCAGTAGTAGCTTGTGCCACTGGCGCAGTAGTAGCTTGTGCCACTGGCGCAGTAGTAGCTTGTGCCACTGGCGCAGTAGTAATTTCTAGGGTGTGGGTGAGGGTGGGTGAGGGTGTGGGGTGGGTGTGGGTGAGGGTGGGAACCAAAAGAAGACAAAAGCGTTTATTTACTTTAAAAGACAAGCAATTGTCACCAGTAGTTTTTCTAGTTTAGTTTTAATACTCGCTCTGCAAAGAACATAAATGAAGATTGCTGTTCTTTGATTAATTTAATATTCGTGTGATCTGCTGGCAATGTTTGATAGGCGATATCCAATGCTAGTTCGTAATATCTAGCAGCTGATTTAAAATCATTAATTAGGCTGTACAGATTAGCAGATATCATATAAAGCATAGCAAGTTGAGAGTGGTTACATACAAGAGCAACAGGAATCGCTTTTAGACAACAGTTCAGCGCCTTTTCCCATTCTCGTCGTTTAACATATAAGCCGCCACAGGTAGCGCAAACACGTACGAAAGATTCTTGATCGCAAAATAGTGAATTTGTTGGAGCATTTATAGCTTTATCAAAGCACGCTATTGCCTCAGACACATTGTCTCTCTTCAAATAACATTCGCCCAAGATGTACATCAATGGAGCAATGTGCGGATCTTTTGACGATAAATCGATAATCTCTAATGCCTTTTGACATGAATCGTATGCCTCTGTATACTTTGATTGACTGAAATATATTGATCCGAGGCGAGTATATGAATTCGCTAAATTTTTATGTTTCGATGGAAGTATTCTTTGTTGAATGTTAAGACATTTAAACATATATTCTAATGCCGCATCATACTTATTTTGGTAGTAATATAAATTTCCAAGTTCACTATAGGTCATTGCAAGCGAAGAATAGTTGATGGAGGGTGAGTTTCGAATAAAATTAATAATTCTGTAAAGATATTCTTCTGATTTTGAATAATTCTCTTGTGCTTGATACGCTATACTCAAATTCAAATAAGCAGACACTAGTCCTGAGTGATCATGTCGTAAACCTTCCAAAATATTAACTGCTTTGCTAAGATACTTGATAGCCTCGATCGTGTTCTTCTTTTGCACGTGAGAAAGACCAATATTACAAAGGATTCTTCCTAACATTAACGTATCATCTTGACATATCTGAAGGGCTTTTTCGCCCCAATATAATGCTTCGTCATACTCCATTTGCTCATTATAGAACATAGATAGATTCGAATAATANGTTATTATCATTCGTACAGTAGTTACCTAGATAACAATCTTTTGAAAGAAGAAAAAAGGCCGATGGGATCAACAAAGCCCGACGTAAGGTTTGATTATCGTAGCAAGGATGGTCTTTCAATTGTGACCTATCGATGGAATACAAATCAACCACCACGTGCTGCAATACAACTAACTCATGGTATGGGCGAACATGCATTACGTTATGGTGAATTTGCTCGAGCCCTCAACGCTAAAGGAATAGTTGTATATGCTCAAGATCAACGCGGTCATGGTGCTACAGCAACATTGACGAAGACCATAGGTAGTTTGGGACACGATGGATGGCAAATGCTTATCAATGACATACATTTACTGGTTCAATACGTCCGTTCAGAAAATCCAAATATTCCTTTGATTTTATTCGGACATAGTATGGGTTCTTTTGCTGTTCAGCAGTATCTACTCGATTATAGTCGTGAGATCGATGCAGCTATACTCACGGGAACAGTTGCACTGGATTTACTTGCAGCAGCATTCGATCCTGATCAACCATTCGAACTCAGTTCAATGAACACACCGTTTCAACCAGCAAGAACTGACTTCGACTGGCTAAGCCGAGATGTGTCGATGGTCGATGCTTACATCAATGACCCACTGTGCGGCTTTGGATTGGACAAGGAATCGATCAAAGGTATGTTCGCTGGCGGGCAACGTATGGTTAATACAGAAGCTGTACAACAGATTCGCAAAGATCTACCTATGCTTATATCAGTTGGTGAACTAGATCCAATACATCAACAAATGGTTGGGGTGCAAGTGCTGGTCGATCGTTTTCAAGCAGCAGGGTTAAAAGATGTTACGTTTAAATCATACTCGGAGGCACGTCATGAAGTTTTAAATGAAACAAATCGTCAGGATATTGTCAATGATATCTTGGATTGGATTGAAAAGAAACTGGCACTATCAACGAAGCATTAATACTTCGAAAATTGTTACCATATCACTTATTCACCTCGATTTGAGAAATAAAATATTGATCGTTATTGCAATACTTGAACCAGTCAAAGTGTAACTGGCATTTAAATTGATCGAACTATTTTAGTTACAGACGAGAATTAGTCTTTTCTTTCTATGCAGACATCGTCGCTTTCAATAGACGCCTTACTTGATAGACGCAAGTAAACTTAATGTTGGTGCCGTGTCATTTTCTTCGCAGTAAAACTAGGGTTTGATTTTGCCGTTAGGACACCTCTGGTTCTATATAAATATATATGCGAATGTGAGAATCACAAAGTATTAGACATTTTCAATATTCAAATGGGAAACCGAGGCAGCAGAAATATTCGATCGACATGTAAGCGATTCTTCTTTTTCTTTAGGAAAGTTTTGAAAAATGAATTTCTTTATAGCCTTTATTGGAGCTGATGTAAATCACAGCAGTGAATACACTATGTATCCAGTCTCAACTGAAAAACGAATGGCACGTGGAGCATTTATGGCAGCCAATACATGGGAAGCGCTGATTGGAAGAGCTATTTGTCCATTTGAGAACTAATTAGAATCAAACCGTTGATCCACTGATAGACGATGAGTTTTAGTGTACGACAGCGATTCTTATTTTTTGGTGAACTCCTCCCCATAACAGGAATCCCGCCTCCGCTTAGCAATTCTTTAAATAAATTGAAGAATAGAGCTTTCCTGTCTAATGCCAGTATGATTTCATTATAATTGAAGAAACCGAGAGCATTGTCTTTTGCTTGTCAAATGCACTTGGTACTTATTTCCAATTCAATTGCTTCTATGCATTTTAAATCACATACATATCGGCAAAATATCTATTATTTTATTTAATCTAGCCGGTCAAAACACGTGAACACAATGTTTCAAAAAAAGATATGAGTTTATTTATGCAACAAGAGGAGGAATTGAATCACAGGCGTGTGGTTGATCTTCACGAGAAGTTTTAAAGCTACAAAGAAGTGATCGTCGACATGCATGAGTACATTGGGAAGCATCTGCATTAGATTTCATATAGTATTTATACACTGTTCCCATCAATGGTCCATCAATATCACTTTCAAGTCTCTTGATCAAATTATCCCAATCAGCTGGAAAAAGATTTTCCATTTGATATGCATCCCGAACAGTGTATTCATTTTGTAGGATTGTTCGATTGTAAACGTTCGTTGCAGTCAAATTCATGATCACAGTACGATGATCGAGTACCCAGTAAGAACTTTGCGGATAGTCACCATCAAGTGTATACATGCGATAACCAGGATTCAAAAACGATTCGGTTGTCAACGATGGCGCGATGTATGCCTACAAAATTTAGAATATCAAAAATAAGCTCGGACGGGTAGTAAGAATACACTTACGATCGAAATAGGGCGTTGATGATCATTTTCATCGTAGTACATATTGAATTCATCCGTATGGGTATGACCATAAAATTGTCCAGAGATCGTATTTTCGAATCTATTCAACAAATAAGTATGACTATTGTACGATAACGTGTATTAATTATCATACCGATTGACAATTCGATCAAAATTCCAGCCGAATGCAGCAAAACATTCTCTTGGTGGATGATGGGCGATGATGTGAACCTTTTCGCTATTCTTTTCTGCATATTGTAACCATTGTATCAACTAAAATACAAACACGAATACTACTCAAGTGAGCTCTTTTGTGTTTCATTGATTTGTACCCATTCAACTTGATTGAGTGGATCTGTCGAATTGATGAATAGCCAATAATTATCGTGATGATAATAATTCGTATTGAGCGAAATTATTCGTAAGCCAGGACGAACAACTGTTGTATAAAAACCGCCACGTAGAATCGTTTCCCGCGTGTCGTTAGGTAGACCGAATGTATTTATCCAACTATCCGCTAGTGCTTCGTATAACCACGAGATATTATCTGTCTTAATAATAGGCGTTGGGAAAAGATTGCATGGAGCTGCTTCATGGTTGCCCACAGCTGCATAAACTGTTCTGTTTGGAAATGTTCGAGCCACCAAACCATTGATTGTGTAGATGGCATGGAGTTGATCAGCACGAGATTGATTCCACACATTGTGTGGTGGCGTATCACCGGTATAATAAATAAAATCAATCTAAGAAAAAAGAACAATGGATAAGGAAGGTAACTGGGTTTTGTTTATCACCTCTTCTGTTCTTGCAGCATATTCAATTATGGCTTGAGCCGTCCAGATTGGTATATCACAGTGAAGACTCGTTCCCCTAAAACAAGTATTCTTCGATATCGTACGCATCTCACGAGAAAGACAAACCAAAAGCCAGCAGCTGGACGACCAGGTACTACATTTATAAACAGAAGCAGATAGGTATGGATGTATGCGTAAACATCACACTACTCACACGGTAGACCTTTTCGACAACACAACGGCTCTAAACAGTTTGCTTCAGAGCCTGGTTTGTACTCGAAATCTACATGAACATCAGCCAATTGTAGCATGTTCAGTTTTGGTGAACTAGGCTGTGAAACGAACGATATACAGTTCAATACCTTCTTTTAATTGAGTGAATATTTACAGAAGGTGGTTTGGGTGGTTGTGGAGTTGGTTTTCCATCAGGAATCGGTACAGTCCAATTCAAAGACGGATAATCCGTTTGTTTTTCACAATTCAAAGTTATTGCACACAGTGCTTTATCAGTATACTCCGTCAGAGAAATAACTTGAAAAACAACGTCCTATTTGAAATAAAGACATGCATTGATAGAAATCGTAGCAATGTTTTACTTTATATTCATGAACAGCGCCACTGCAAACGTCAAGAACCAGACTAAATTCTTTGCAAAGTTGTAGAGTTATATTTTCAAAGCGATCTGTTTGATTAGCATAGATAAGTAACCGTGCCTATGTGGAACAAATGATAATCAACGTTATGAAAAACAATCGATCTTTACTCACAATGGGCAGAAGTATATGACACATTTTGCAATATATTTCCGGTGGATCATTATATTGTTGAAACATCCATTTCAGGGCTTTAATATTATTCGAATGTTCGAACCGTTGACGATAATTAATTAGGGTAGAGAACTGCTTTGTGTCTATACTTGTCACATCATCTATCACTTCATCGATCGGATCTTCTACAATAACTCGAGCATCGATTGTTGTACAAATGGCAACAGCGAACAAAACGAAGAGTGCAACTCTTTGCAAAGCCATCATAGTGGTGAAATGGAAGAAAAACAGTGATAAACATCTTTCTTTTGTCGAGGATAGAAGCATTCTTCAGGTAACCATTGTTTGTTAACTGGTTATCTTATCAAGCAACAGAAAATATGTTTTTTTTAAATTTTAGAGAGACCTACATATATCGATCTTCGAGTATGAAATGACGTCAATGAATAAAAACCGAATAAAAATTGTCCAGTATCCGACTTCATAACGAATGTTCGTTCATTCTTTCAACGAACAATTTCATTTATCAAAATGTGGAGTGAAGAAGACTTGTTCACCTTTTAGAATGTTTTGTTTGTGCTGGCAATATCGGCTCGATTCTCAATGTGATCGTTTTTTCCTCAAGTTCTAAACTTCGTTCAAGTTCATGTTCACTCTATCTGATTTTGTAAATTATGGTTTTATTGCGTTGACTTGTTTTTAATGTTACCCCGATCGTACATGCCATTAACAACGATGAATCGGGATGAAGAAAAGATTTTTCTGAGGTTTTACAAAGCGGCTGTTTTTAGGTATTTATGAGTCGATCAAGTCAACATTGGTTTCTACGTTTTGGTGTCACAAAGACAATCGTTCTCTTGAACTGCTTATTCTGGATGGCCATTTGCATCTGTATTAATGGTTCTGTTTGATTTATTGACACTTTGAAATCGGAAGCGTGTACGGAAGAAAGTTTATTCAAATATTATCGAGGCAAATGAACGACGGAAAAGAAAAGAATGGACTCGCTTTCGAATGCTTTTTATTCAATTATTTTTCACAATTGTTCTAACAATGCCGATAACAATTTATTTATTTTATTCGGACTTGACGCAATATGATCAAAAATCGGCATTTCGGTTGTTCGTAGAGAATTATATTTACCAAATGGTGACTCTTTGACAATACATCAATGCATCGGTAGCCCTTCGTTTTTGATTTATTGCAAGACCAATCTGTTCTTTTTCTCTCTTTAGGATTCGTTTGTTATTTACTCATTAACTTCAAGAACATTTCGAACAAAACTTGGTGTTCTGGATCACCGACTGTGTAGGATTGTTATTAACAGTACTTTCCCCTCAGGTGTTCTATCCTTTGAGAACGATTTAGGTAGATGTGATGTTATCTTGACTTTGCCATCGACTGGTAACAAACACGCAAATATACTCTAGATTGTGAAGTCGAGAACGACAAAAGAATTACGAAATATTTCAGAGCATGCGTGCTTTTTTTTCTGTTTTCTTTTAGTATCGAGGCAAGTCATATATGAAAGAAAAAGAGAATGGATCATGTTTTTCTCTGGCAGATACGAAGAATGTATCAGTGACTAGTAATTGTGTAAGAAGAAAGCCATATCTATATAAATTTGTGTTTTGTATGCAAACCACTGTCACAGAAGGAGGCGCGCGGTGATCGTGCGAAATTTCAGTTGAAAGTTTTGTGCAACTTGGTTTTTACAATGACTTCTGTAGAAGATCATGTTTCTACGTATGATTACGTCGTGATTGGTGGAGGAACAAGTGGTTCAGTTGTTGCACGACGTTTAGCAGAAAGTGAAAAGCATTACAATGTTTGTCTCTTAGAAGCTGGTCCCAGTCACGAAGATATTTACAGTAGCCACATGCCTGGTGGAATGGGAGCAATCGATAGAACCAAATTAGATTGGAATTATGATATGGTGCTTCAAAAAGGATGCAACAATCGTAATCTAATCACTGTACGAGGTCGCTTTCTTGGAGGTACCAGTGGAATGAACGGAACAGTGGTTGTTCGTGGAGCCAAAGCGGATTATGATCGCATTGCTGACATGGGAAATCCAGGATGGAGCTGGCAAGAGATGATGCCTTATTTTAAAGCATCAGAAACATTCCATCCCGTCGATTGGCACCAAGCAGATTTATCTGTTCACGGTACCGATGGACCTTTACACACATCACCGCACCGTTTGGCACCTATCTCAGAGAAAACTCTCGAATCATTTATCGACTACGGTTTTCAGTATAAGCCGGATATGTTTGTTCAAGGTGAATATGAAGGTATGTCGGAAACGCATCTTGCTGGAAAGTATTGAGATAGGATCATTCTAGGTGTTGGACATGCTATTCGCAGTGTTTACAATGGCGTTCGTAGTACAAGTGCAGATTTTGTGCACAACTGTAAGCTGGAAAATCTTACTGTAAAAACGGGAGTATTCGTCGATCGAATTATCGTGAATAATAATGGTAAATCGAATGCAGAAAATCGTGAATATAGAGCAGTTGGCGTTGAAGCACATGACGATGTTAACGGTCAACCAATGATCATAAAAGCAAGAAAAGAAATCATCTTGAGTGCTGGGTAAAAGTCGGTTACTTTCAAATAGCTCTTCATTTTTCTTTTCGCTTAGTGCTTATAACTCTCCAATGATCTTAATGCATTCAGGCATTGGCCCAAAAGAACATCTGATCGAAATGAATATTGATTGCAAGATTGATTTGCCTGGCGTTGGAGAAAATCTAATCGATCATCCCATTGTTAGTAGTCTTTCTTTCAGTTCATTTGCATGTTGATTTTCACTGCAATGTAGGTTTTCACCTCCTATCAAGTGAGCGAACCAAATCTTACCTTGGATCGACTGGTTTTTCATAATCCTGAAACTGTCCTCGCAGCGATCAAAGAATGGAATGAGACGAAAACGGGACTGATGTCAACAGTGCCATTCGGTCCATTTGCACTGACACGAATTGATAAAACAATTCGCGATCCAGTTTGGGAAGCCGAGAAGTTGAAACAGCAGTGTGATGATCCATCAGGTCAATTACCAACCCAACCTCACATTGAATTTCTTACTACTGAACTGTTTTCCGGTCCACCTCATTATGCCGAAGTGAATCCGAATAATCCAGTCAATGGTGAAAGTGTTATCACATTGATCACACTTCTGTGCAGACAGCTTTCAACAGGAACCATACGTCTGTCGTCCAATGATCCAACTAGCAAGCCGATCATTGATCATGCCTATCTTACGAACGATTTAGATGTAGCTGTACTTGCTGAAGGTTGTCGCATTGGTCATGAAGTGCTAACAAAGGGTCGAGCAACCAAAGACATTATCAGTGGGCCATGGCCAAAAACTGTGTCTATTCCAACCGATTTGGACGGTTGGAAAGAACATGTACGAGAATTCACGACTAGCTGTGGTCACCCAGGTGGTACATGTAAGATGGCACCAAATAGTGATCCAATGGGAGTCGTCGATCATCGTCTACGTGTTCGAAATGTGGAAAACTTGCGCGTAGCCGATGTGTCTATTATGCCTATACTTAACAGTGGACATACACAAGCACCTGCATACGCCATTGGCGAAAAAGTGGCACATATGGTCTTGCAAGATGAATTGATTTAAAAAAATTAGTTTTAATAAAGAAATAAATTATCATAACTAGAGTAGTGTTACACTATCGCTCCATTACAAGTCTTCTGCATTTGTTTATAGAAGCATCAGCATGACTAGATAGTTTCTAGCACGATCACGTCTTCTAAAAAATGACGAAAGATAAATACCTCATTATTTGCTCTTTCAACGCTTATCAGCTGATAAATACAGCGTCGCTGCTTGCTTTTTCTTTTCATTTCTATGTTAATTTCGAAATCTGAAATTATATTTTAGATCGATGCATAGTAACTTCCGATTATCATTTTTACTCGCGTACATTCTTCTAAATATTATCCATGTGGCACAAACAGTTCCATCCGGTTATTTATTAGGATCGACTTATATACCTGGAGCACCATCAAACTCCTTATGTAAAATTGATCCATTGACTGGAAAATTTTCAACACTTGCTGCATTGGAAGATTACAAGGCTTATGATGTTACCTACGACTTTATTCATAAAGTTTTCTATGTCTTTGGTAGCAGAGCATTTATTAACCGTGATACAGCAGAGCTTTCGGTACTTGTGGTTAATCCATTCAATGGTACACAACAATACCGACCACTTCCCACTGAACCATTTGTTAATTTATTTGGTTTACGTGTTGATAGTAGTACAGGAGAATTGTATACATTACAAATGAGTGACGTTGAAGAAGATCCTATAAGTATCATACAAATAGACCCTGTAGATTTCAAAGTTAAACGATGGGTTAATATTACAAAATCCACTGGTGTACAACCTGATTCAATGGCCATATTTTACAATGCAACAGATCATCGATACTTCGTGACAGTAGCACCCGAGTCTTTCGATAATGCTCTTGTAGGTATTGATGTTGTGCGTCGCAAAGAAATCAGTCGAATTGTCAAACACAGTTTACCAGCATATTTATGTTACGATAATATAACAAACGCTTTTTATGGCATTCAAGAAACGGAAGGCAAACGTGGTTGTCGGTTAATCCGTTTGAATCCCTACAATGGTACGATAGAAGTTTTATCTCCTGATTTTAATGATTATTTAGCATCGACTGGAACTTGTTATGGTGGATTTTACTTTACAATGATTGTGAAAAATCTCAATACGCAGAAAATAGTGACATTCGATTTGGCAAATCATGGCAAAATTATAGCGAGCAATCCAGCGGAAAGCTACTTAGATGCATTCGCATTTGTTCCTATCTGAAACTTTTGAAAATATAAGTGCGATAAAGCGAAGCGAAAATGTCTTTTTCAAAATAGCAAAGCTTGTAATCTTGTTCGATACTGTTTCATGGATTGCCAGAACTCTTCTTTATACGTCTTCGATGGCACGATGAATATGACAGAGGTAAGAATCGACGGAATCAATGAAATGAAATAACCAGTAAGAAGCAATTCCGAATCGTTGACCGATTTCATGCAACCCGAAATAAATGATATGATTAGATGTGGTAAAGCAAGAACGACTAGAATAACCGATGAAGTAAACAGATGACGATGTGCCCGTATTTGTGCAATAACCAGCCGAAAATATTGTTGATCAGGTGCGAGGTCTACCCGTCGTCCAGCTGTTTTGACAATGATGATAATTGTAGTGATGATATTGATAATAAAAGGCACGAATGAATGAAAAGTATTCAGAAATGAGTTTAAAAATTTGACAGTAGGTGGGTAAACAACGATACACCAGATTCGTTTACTTTCTTCATCATCATCTTCATCGATACGTCGCTATTTGTTTGCTCTTCGATTAGTTGAATTTGAGTCCTTCGAGAGCAATTATGACTCGTTCAATTGCCACACATGCTTGTAACCATTGAGTTATTTGAATACTACTACGTAGAAGAAAATCAATCGATTCATCAGATGTTCTTTGTGCGACAAATAGAATAAAAAATTTCAATGCAAAAAATACAATCGTAACCAAATTGCCAATCGATATTTACAACAAATACATTTCACAACCATTCTGTCGTAATTTTTTGCTCTTAAACGTAACTGTCATCAGAATGCCATTAATCATTCCCGCGATGGTAATGATACTCGTAAATGCTAAACTAACATTGACAATTAAAGACTGTCCGTAGATGCTGACATGAAGTTGGATGCGATAACCTAAAATTCCATCAAGTGTCAGACCGAATCCGTCGGATGAAAATTGGCATCGGGCGCCGTAGTAACACGATGGACAGACGCACATGGATGTTTTGGGCCAAGTTGATCTTTCCTGAATACATTGCGCTCCATTTTCACAATCGATGAAGCGACCGGCATGATTGTCGAGAGCACTGTCCCAGTCTCCAAACAACTCGAAGCGAACGAGCGCGCATTTCACGCATACTTTTCTCGAGAAATCGAACTCTTGCTTAGAGAATTTCGAGCGAAGTTTCCATTCCACCATGTGATTCAATGGACAATGTATGTTCGTGATCGATGTCAACACACACTGGATATCGACATGGAACCACCAAAATAGAGGATAGGATATTATGGGCCCAGTTATTTCTTTATAGAATAAACACAGACTTTGAAGACATGACAGACACTCCAACGACCGTTGCCAATCATTGGGAGCGGAAATTGTACAACAGACTAGTCACGACAACAGTTCCTCAAGCGGAGCCTGATGCAACGTGAGAGTTCAGAACAACATCTTTCATCCAGCGACACAATATTTCTTGCGGCATGTCATCAGCTTGAAGATGGGAGAGAAAACGAGAGATTCTTCCAAAATCTACACAAAAACTTGCTGGCATGCTATATGAGAACAGCGCCATCTGAGTCGAAAAAAGAGAAAAACCTAGAGTTGAAGGAGATGGTGCATTCAGACATCCTTCTACAACCGATCTAATCACTCTTCAAATGCGAAATAACCCTAAACATGCCTGATGATGATCAGACTAAGCCCTGATCGAAACACGTTGTGTGACGCTTTGGAATCATCTTCTTGATGGAACTCACCCTCACCCTCACGTTGTATATCGAACAGCTTTGCAATAAAAAATCATTTTCAATATCACATATGTAGTCTTAAATTTCCCGGACAACGCCGGGTACCTTAGCTAGTCGTATATATAGGAGTAATACTTTTTATGAATGTGAGGCAATAGGCGATTTCTAATCAATATTGTGCAACTTACTGCTATCATCAATGTATTGCGTATACGTCTGTTCTATCTCTTCTATTCTTCTCTCTCTTGTGCGTGCATAAAACGCGAGTGCTTTGTGTTGTACGAGAGCAGACTAGACGATGGAATAGTGGACTGAACATCGATTCTACACCGATTATATCGGTAACACTATTTCTCTAGTTTGTTCATTGTGATCACAATTAAAAGAATAAATGCAGCAGCTATAACATCATGTAGTTGGATCTTTTATTTTATATTATGTTACACTCTTCTCTGGTGATTGTACACCCCTTGTCTTTGTTGTTTTCTCTGTCTAGAATAAACCTTGTCTCTCTTCATTAACACCTTGAGAATCGTCGTAATTCTCGACAATCAAAAGAGAAAGAAAGAAAAAGGAAAGGAAAATTGAAAACGAAAAAAAAAAAACTTTTTTCTTGTTGACACATGGTTCAAGGCAATCAAGGACCAAGAGTGATGAGCAAATCTCGCGGCGAAACGTTGGGTTTATCCATGGTTGGCGTGGTGGTGGCTTGGATGTGCGGCCTGTGGTGCTGGAAAAGGACAAAGAGGAAGAGTAAAATTTCATACTTGACAAAAAAGCGACCTGGGCACCGGCGGATTCCTCCGCCAAAGGGAGTGAAGCCCAGTGGAGAAGGATCGTGCTCGAATCGCTCGGGACGAAAACTCTCCGCAGCTTCAAAGACGCGCGGATCATTAAAAGTCCCAGTCCAGCCACATATGATTCGCCAGCCGGCTGGCACAACAGCTTCACCAACGCGATAGGAGGACAGGCGAGGATTAATCCCAAAAGAAACGTGAGTGGCAGGCGGGCGCATCCGAAGAGTTTCGTACAAGACACACTCAGTGTACTTCATGGAACGGACAGCTTCCCATATGGCATCAGAAGAACTGCTGTCCCACTTGTCCGCGCAAAAGCGAGTTGCCAGTGCCTCGACCTCTTGTTGAACAAGTTGCTTCACCTAGAAAGTGGTATTATTTGAGCAACGAGTGACAAAAAAAAATGACTGTTACCTCAGGGTGGGTTCCGAGAAACGCCAAAATCCATGCCAAGGTGATGCGAACGGGCTCAAATCCCGCAGCCCAGAGCATCAGCAGGTTGTCAACAATGTCATCTTCGGGCAGATCACTTTTCGCAAGTCGGAATAATACTGACTCGGAGTCGTCGTCATTGTTAGCCCGGCGGCACTTGCGAACTCGAAGCCGAAGACGCCGCTCTAACTCCTTCTTAGCTTGTGTGCCTTGGAAATACGTAGTTCCAGGAATATTCCACTTTCTCGTGGCCTTGAGCCCCGTGAAATGCTGGTGGAACAGCCTCAGGTACTCTTCCAGCTCAACAGCAGTCAGCTGCTTTCCCAGGATTATCACAGAGACCGCAGCCAGTCCAAACTTCTTCAACACCGATTTACACTGGCCAGCGTCACACCCATCCAGCCGCCGCGCGTAAGCAGCACTCAAGGTAGAAAGGGTGTACATGTGCCGGCGGAAGGAATTGAAGTCCATGGCATGAACAACTGCGAGCTTTCGAGTTTTGTGTTCCTCGCCAAAAAGGAACTCAAGGCTGCGTTCGCCACGCAGAAACCGCTTCTGGTTGTTGGGAAAGCGGTCAAGCTCCGACCCGACATGCTCAAAGATCCCCCGTATCTGATCAGGACTCTGAACAACAAGATGCATGACACCATTTTTCCTGAACGCATAGTTCCCAGAACCCGAGTGCTTCACAAGAAACGCAAAGGGGTCCTGACTCCAGGTGGCACTAGAGACAATGGGAACGGTGGGTTCCAAGTCAGGTGCAGGACTTGACTTCCTCTTCTCGCGATGAAGGACGAAGAACCACAAGCCACACAAAAAGCAGCCCAATACGATCAGTGCAGCAACCTCAAGATCGTTCGAACCTTCAGAAGTAATGGAAGTCCAGTGACGTTGCAGGAGGAACGTGACAGCGCAGGTAAACAGAGACAGCAAGACGAATAAGAAGGACTGGCCCAAGATAGTTGGCTTGAGATCAAGCATGCTTCCAACAAAGGGGAGGATTTTCACAAAGGTGTGAAACGGGTCAGGGTGGAATCTTAAAAGAGAGAGAGAGAAGTCGAATGAAGAAGGAAGAACGACAAAAACGCAGTGTAACCACTGATACAGCCGATCGGCACATGATTTCCGATATCTGGTTCTAAGAATAGTAACTCTATTGTCCTGTAGATGGCTTCAAAACTATCCTCGTGGACAAGGAGTTCGCTTTAACTATTTCAGAGAGCGGCTCAACGGATCCAAGATACAAAAGACAAGTCCTTGTACGGCAATGAACAAAGAGAAAGATCTATACGACTACGAGTGTCCTAAGCCTGCCCTCTATCACTTCGCCTTGCTCGTAACTTCGAATCTGAAGAATTAGATATGAAGCTATATTCTAGCTTGGATCAACGATCGAGTAGCTTAACGGTAGAGCAACCAACTGGTAATTGGGAGATGTAGGTTCGATTCCTGTCTTGATTTTGAGGATTCTTTCCATTGAAGTGTTCGTCTTCTTTGGAACGCATCTACTGTGGCTCTTTGGATGAGAAATGAGAGCAATAGGGAAGAGGGAATAGACTTGTGGACACGTGGAAGGAAAATAGATAATCCTCTATCGGATTCTTAGGTCTAGCTTTCTCTTTCGAATTGAATGTACAACAGTTAACTCACCCTCCTTTGTTGTCTCTCACTCATCTCTCACCCTCATGTAATGTGTACTCTTTAGCAGCAATTGAGTTCTTTCATTAAAAGTTGATAATGAGTGTTAAGCAGTCAGTCGAAATATCCGAAAATTGAAGTTTCATTTCAACTGCATCTTCATCATTATGATTGTTGAAATCTTCTGTTTCCTCCTTGAGTATTGCGGTGACAGAGTATGTGTTTTAACAGAACAAAAATGACTTCTCTTTATTGCATTCTTATTTAGAAGAAAAAAAGGAAAGCAAAAAAACCGTGTGACTTCGTAAAAGTATTATCGGTTAAAATTGATCCGAACAAGCTGTTGCAAACAACTTTAGCTTGGATTATGTACAAAGCAGTATGTTAGACTTATATTGGAGCACAACTTATACCTATCGGATCCTCAAACTTAATTTAAAATTCGTATTATTCATCGTCTTTGCTGTGCAATGATCGATGCAGTAACATATGAATGAACATTCTTATTTTAACTCGTTCTTAACCTTTTCCAACAAACAGGAAAAAGCAGGCTGTTCTAAACTTACCCATAAAAAGCGCAAAAATCAAGTGGCGACAAGAGAAAAATTACACAGCGGCCAATATCTTATCAGAACAACAACGTGATGATTCATTCGGTAAGAAATAAATGCTATGATAGCTGGGCAAGGAGAACAGGAAAAAACCTATGAAAGTTGTGTAAGCAAGAATGATGAAGAATCAAGCAGGAAAAAACCTATGAAAGTTGTGTAAGCAAGAATGATGAAGAATCAAGCAGGAAAAAACCTATNCTTGGGAGACATAGGCGCGGGCTTGGGAGATATAGGTGCTGGTATCGGAGATATCGATTTTAATTTTGGTGATTTCGACATGGGCTTTTAATAATATGGTTCAATATTGTTTCTGATTATTAAATGTAATCATTTGACTTTGCTTTTATATTGCTTCGTTTTGTTGTTGTATAGATTTACAAATTGCTCGTTTTTAATATCACTAGAGATAGGATGAAAACATGCGTACTTGTTCTATCTGTTTCATATTGGAGCAAACGTAAATCTATCTCTACTACGCTTATGAATAATTTAGAAATTGATCTTTTTGTATTTTATTCAAAATTGAAATATCATATGTTGCAATGATGTTGACGATAGAGAGCAGCATGAGATAAATTGTATTAATTCAATATGAAAACAAAAAATAGCCTATTCGTTATCTCAGTCTACCACTTACAATAAACTTTGAATTAATACGAATGAAGATTGTTTGAGAGCACAAGAAAAAACACAGCAGAACACAACAAAATCATACTGTACCGTGTACGTGTTACAAAACGAAGAATAGCATAGAGAGTTTCGGATAGAAATAAGGCCATGGAATGACGTTGTTTTATACAAAATAAATGTGTGAAAGAATGCAAACACGCGAGTGACTAGCGATGCTTTTTTTTCCTTTTATTCTGTCTCACGCGGACAGAATAGAAGAAGTGCGTTCGTTATGTCACTTTGAAAACGTTTACACTTGATAACTCGTATTCTTTTGCTTAAAAACATTCTGTTACGCGTCTCAATAGGACTGTTCGATATTCTTCAGACACGATTTTTTTGTTTTTATTTATGTTACTGATTTTTTAACAGTTTTTTTTCAGTAGCTCTTGAGCAGCACGAATAAGAGATAGCTAGAGAGATCATTTATGTGATTCTTCTTCTTATTTTTTCTAGGATTTATCAACAGTGAAAAATGCTTTCTACGTTGTTACGTCGATCTCTATCCAACCTTAAAAGGCCGGGGAAAAACTATAATATTTTGGTGGTCGGTGGAGGAATTGCTGGCCCTGCTCTAGCCTTTTTTTTACATCGTTATGGTATGAAACCTGTGGTGGTTGAGCGTGCATCGGAAATACGTCTATCTGGTCAATGGGTAGATCTTGAAAATGAGGGGAAAGAAGTTGCTTGGCGTATGGGAATCGAAAGTAAAGTCCGTCAGAAGATTGCTGAAGAGCAAGGTATACACATTGTCGATAGCACGGGACGACCGCAAGCTAGTTTCGATGCGCATAGCTTTGGCGAAAAAGACTTTGTTGAACAGATTGAAATTCGGCGTCCGGAATTAGCCAATATCCTCTACGAACACATCCGTAACGACGTCGAATATGTTTTCGGCGATTCGCCGCAATCTATTGACGATCGTGGCGATATAGTGCAAGTCAAATTTGCTAGCGGTAATGTTCGCGAATTCGATTTAGTCGTGGGTGCTGATGGTATACACTCAAAGACTCGACGTCTTGTCTTCGGCGATGAATCGTCTATTGCTTACGCTGACTTATACACGGCATATTTTTCTATTCCTCGCAGCGACTCCGATGGTAATTGGGTTCGTTTTTATGCTGCGCCTGGAGGACGATCAGTTGCACTTCGTCCAGATAGTCAAGTCAGAACGCAAATATATCTCTGCTTTCGAAGTAAAGAACGCGGCTACGAATACCTCGGTGTCGACATGCAAAAACATTTATTACAAAAGTTATTTGCTGACGTTGATTTTGAAGCCCCTCGAATTCTTCGTGAACTACCGAACTCAGATGATTTCTATTTTAATACTGTTGGACAGGTCAGAATGGATCGATGGTCGAGAGGACGAGTGACTCTGGTGGGTGACGCTGGCTACTGTCCTTCTCCGCTCACCGGCATGGGAGCAAACGTGGCTCTTGTTGGCGCTTACATTCTTGCCGGCGAACTTTCACGCCATCAGGATTACAACGAGGCATTTAAACAATATGAAACATGGATGCGTCCCTATCTGGCAGAAGCTCAGAAAATCATTCCTGGAAGTGTGCGTCTGGCTTTACCAAAAACACGCACTGCGATTGCCTTGCGAAACGCTGTACTTGGCTTTGTGTTTAGACCTCACATCGCTCGATTTATCGGAAAACTTGTCACTTCGAAAGCTTCTCGGAAGAGTGTGCTACCGAATTATGAGATTGTACCGACTTCCTAAGACACGCACTATTGAAAGTAGACTAATATATTCTTGTTCACGTGTGTGATATAGGGACCCCAACGGGATGTCTCCCTTGTATATAGAAGGTTGCCCGAAAAGTTCGTGCAACTATACTTGTCATACATATCCACAGGAAGTTTCGTCTATACCGTCGTGTAGAGCGCAAAATTTTACTGAGATTCACTCATATTTGAACAAAACATGTTAATTAATTTGTTGAGAAAAATAGTATATGCATCATCCTATCTTAGTGTATTTCAGAAAAGCGAAGAATGAGTATTTAGTAACATTCAACATGAAACCAGCTGAATATTGTTAAATTCTCCGTACAAAAAGTAAATACTAACATCCAATCTTTCCTGCAGTTATATCTGACACAGCATAAACATTGTATTTCAGCCCATGTCGCATGTTTTCTACAAAATATATTTGAATATGACGATCGATGTATATACTGATATTTTTTTGTCGACAAATCAATTAATACATTTTGTCCAAATACGAGTGAATCTTGATAAAATGTTGCGCTCCACACAATGGTATGGATGAAATTGTTGTGGATATATATGAAAGGCAGTGGCACGAACTTTTCGGACAACCTAACATCTCACTGAGTCATACTATACCATCAATGACGAAAACATTCGGACAGTACTGCACAGTTTGATTTTATTTCCGACTTTTCTATTCGTTAAAAAACATACCTTATAGTATATTGATGATCGACATTCTATGCGGTTTGTGATGTAAATCAAACGAACAAAATCAAGTCGTAATAATAATAGCAGTAATAAGACATGAATCGATCTCGACTTCCAACAACTTTGATTCCAATTCTAGAATCGGGATTGTTGCATGATTATTAATCATAAAATGAAACAATATTTTATTATGCTGTTGTTGTGAAAAAACAATATGATGTTCGTTGGTGTTTTTCCGATGTTTTGCATGCTGATTCTATGAAAACATGAACTGTGTTGTTGAAATTCGACGGATTCTTTTGTCTGGAGTTCATTTTATCCTTATATGTCGAAAGGAAACAGAAAATGGGGAATAGAGCGGCAAATATTTAAATGACTGATCTTTATCAAGGGAATTACATGCTCAAATCCTATCTTTTCAGTACAATCAACATAAAGTTTTATTAATGGCAAATCTAAGAACGCGATGATTATTATGATCGGATACATAAAGATTGCCTTCAACGTCAAACGTAACATCAGTTGGTAGATGCATTTGATCAAACTGCGCACCTGGGCCATTGCCACCGGCAATGACGTCACCTGATATTTTCCCTTTCGGCCAACGTAGAATTCGATGATTATAACTATCAGCTATATAAAGTGTTTCAAATTTATCGACAAATACACCTTCCGGCCCATTTAATTGATGAAGACCAACGCCATCGTTAGCACCACCAGCAACAACGGAGAATGGTGCTGCTCCGTTCTCTAATTTTAGCACTCGATGATTATCTCGATCAGTCACATAAAGCGATTGATATCGATCAAGAAACATTAGATATGGATGGTTCAGTAGAGACAAAATCGTTTGTCCAACAGTTTCGTTCGGCAATAGTTTTACTACTTCACCACGTGCTCGATCCGATATGTAGAAGGAGCCATCGTCATCTTGCACCAAACCATGAGCATATATATCACTGGTAATCGTATCACCAGTCGAAGCATCACGAAACCAACGTTGAACACGGCGATTTTCGGCATCTGCAACAAACAACGTTCCATTTTCATCGACAACAATGCCACGTGGACCATATAGTTGATTTTGATTAGCGCCTAGGCCATTTCCACCCGCTACAATTTCTCCATATCTATCACCAATATGCCATTTTATAACGCGATTATTAGCATTATCCGAGACGTAAATCGTTTGATTTTCATCGACAAAAACCGCAGAAGGATTCCTTAATTGATCAAGATTTCCACCATATTCACCAAGACCAGCTACAGTTACACCTATTCGCGCCCATGTGGCTGCTGAGCATAAACCATCACCTGGCCTTGGCAGTGATGGTGTTACTATATGAGTCGAGGAATCTTCGAAATCTAAAAATCGTCATTAACGAAATAGAACCATAGATTGAGAGTCTTACTAGCAGAAGTAATTATTGAAATTGTCGATGTTATTGATGTCATCGTCGCATCCGATACTGATGTTGTCATTCTTTCAGTTGTTGACAGCACAATCGATTGTGTTTCTGAGGAATCTAGTGGTGCAGTAGTAGTTTCTACCTCTGGAAACGATGTATTTGGGTGCGCTGTTTCCACGATTTCATCGGATGTGAATGTTCCTATTGAAACAGTAGAGAGCACAGTAGTATATACAGTTGTTGTCGTTGTCGGTAAAATTGTAGTTAGAGTTGATGCTTTTGCAGTACTGATTGTTGTATCATTTGTCATGGGTGCTTCTGTTGGATTTGTTTCGATAACATACACGAGAATAATGGGAATAAGTATGGACAGAACAAAAAAAGTAATGATAACAGATAGTGCTAATATTATGAGTCTCCATCGATTATTTACTAGAAGTCTTGAACAACTACTAGTGTACAATGTGGTTGAATAATTATGAACAGGCTGCGGGCCTGCAATTTGTTAAATTAGAGCGAACACTTTCGGAAATGATTTGAACTCTTATATTTACCTTTCATTTCACAAAGATTCGGGCAGTAATTGTAATGTGCTAGATTCACATATGTCCTCAAACTTGATCTGTTCGTTTCTTTATATGAATGCTTATCTTCTTCTCTGATTCAACAGAAAGATTAGAAAAATGTTTTTAATTTAATCATACATTATTCGTTTTTTTTCTTTATGTGACGTACATGATAAGCTGAAGTAGAGTGATTACATTAGATAAGATGTTATGTAGATTTTCGATTTCAAAATTCAATCTACGCAATAACTATCATAAGGGTGACGGTGGAAACCAAAAGAAGACAAAAGCGTTTATTTACTTTAAAAGACAAGCAATTGTCACCAGTAGTTTTTCTAGTTTAGTTTTAATCCTCGCGCTGCGAAGAGCATGAATAAAGACTGATGTTCTTTGATTAATTTAATATTCGTGTGATCTGCTGGCAATGTTTGATAGGCGATATCCAATGCTAGTTCGTAATATATAGCAGTTGATTTAAAATCATTAATTAGGCTGTACAGATCAGCAGATATCATATAAAATATGGCAAGTTGAGAGTGGTTACATACAAGAGCAACAGGAATCGCTTTTAGACAACAGTTCAGCGCCTTTTCCCATTCTCGTCGTTCAGCATATAAGCCGCCCAAGTTAGTGCAAACACGTACGAAGGATTCTTGATCGCAAAATAGTGAGTTTGTTGGAGCATTTATAGCTTTATCAAAGCACGCTATTGCCTCAGACACATTGTCTCTCTTCAAATAACATTCGCCCAAGATGTACATCAACGGAGCAATGTACGGATCTTCTGGCGATACACCGATAATCTCTAATGCCTTTTGACATGAATTGTATGCCTCTGTATACTTTGATTGATTGAAATATATTAATCCGAGACGAGTATATGAATTCGCTAAATTTTTATGTTTCGATGGAAGTATTCTTTGTTGAATGTTAAGACATTTAAACATATATTCTAATGCCACGTCATACTTATTTTGGTAGTAATATAAATTTCCAAATTGACTATAGGTCCTTGCAAGTAAAGAATAGTTGATGGAGGGTGAGTTTCGAATAAAATTAATAATTCTGTAAAGAAACTCTTCTGATTTTGAATAATTCCCTTGTGCTTGATACGCTACACTCAAATTCAAATAAGCTGACACTAATCCTAAGTGATTATGTGGTAAACCTTCCAAAATATTAACTGCTTTGCTAAGATAATTGATAGCCTCGATCGTGTTCTTCTTTTGCACGTGAGAAAGACCAATATTACAAAGGATTATTCCTAACATTAACGTATCATCTTGACATATCTGAAGGGCTTTTTCGCCCCAATATAATGCTTCGTCATACTCCATTTGCTCATTATAGAACATAGATAGATTCGAATAATATCTTACCATCAATGAACTGTCATCTGGTGTGTCTCTAATTAGCATTAAACAATATTCTTCAGCTTTTCCAAGTTCTCCCATCTTCATTAACAAACCACAGAATGTATTCAAATTATCTAATTCACCAATTTCATCTTTGATATTCTTCGACAATATACGTAGTTCTTCATCTTCTTCACCATTCATTATCAACCGAACCAACCACACTCCTTCCACGTCTAATCTTCCAACTGATTCAACACGGAAAACCGTAGCTACTGAAAACAGTATCTCATCTTCTTCTTCCATATAACTTAACGATCGAATGTCAGCAAATGGTTGACGACATTTCTCAATCTCAATCTTTATCTCGAAGACGATCGATTCGATGTTTACATCAGTTGATGACGAGTTTCCAGTAAATATCGAAGCGACGTCTCTCTTCGTGCTTGTTGAAAAGAAACTGTTGATCGACAAAAATCCACCAATATTGTTTTTGATTCTATAATCAAATTCATCTTTGTTCATAAATTGTCCACGATAAACAACCGAAGGTAAGGACAAGGCAGTGAGTTGTTTCCTGTGTAAATCTTTCAACTGATGATGAAGATCAGTGATGAAGAATCCAAGTTTGTACAAAACATCGATATCTTGTGTTCGGAGTGCATTATTGAGTATTCGAAAGAGAAACGAATCACGTGTGTACCATCGAATAGCATGTTCTTTCGAATATGTACGATGAAATTCGTCGATTTTGTCAAGTTCACATTGATTATCGGAGTATTGAGAGTTGCAAAGTGAGATGAACTCATCTTTTGTTGATTGTTTATGATTTAGAGCAATGATTGCTTCGGATAACAATCGAAAATACATGAATTCTGCTTCCTGTTGATCCAACCGAGATTTTGATGAAGAAGGTAGAGAAGATAACAAGAAATTGGACGCATTGCATGCCGACTGTATTCTTCTTTTAGTATTCGAAGTTTGATCTCGTATTGCGTTACATAAAAGCGTCAAATCAGTAAAAGTACCATTGATTTTGTCGATCGACGGAATTAGATGATCATGGTGTTGATCATTAGGAGAAAAAATGTAAATAAGTTTGATTTGAGAGATCTGATGGATGAGTGGAAGAATAACTTCTGCTAATGAATGAGAGATGATGAGATAGATGTGTTGTTGTTCATTCGATGAAATATAATCAACACATTCATCAACATCTGAATAAATTGTGAGGTAGTTGATGACTTGTCGTAATTGAAACTGAATTTGATTGATTTTGTGTGTATCAGTGAGTTTGTCATTCAACCAAATCAGAGTGTTTTGTTCGAAATTTCTTATTTCTTTCAACTGTTTAGAACTCATTTATTCGACTAGTAGAAATAACAATTTCTATGAGTTACTGTAGTATTTATTTCTGATAAGATTTTTTAAACATTATAATCAACATCTTGCATATAAGCGTATATTTTTTTTCGTTCTTTCCAATGTCAAATACAACGAACGTGTACCTCTATTCACTCTCATGCAAAAAATCACTTTATCTTAGATACATTATCACCTGATTGGTCGAGAACGAAACAATAGACACACGAAACGCCTTGCTTTTGTTTTATTTTTATTTTTATTGTTATTATCATTCGTACAGTAGTTACCTAGATAACAATCTTTTGAAAGAAGAAAAAAGGCCGATGGGATCAACAAAGCCCGACGTAAGGTTTGATTATCGTAGCAAGGATGGTCTTTCAATTGTGACCTATCGATGGAATACAAATCAACCACCACGTGCTGCAATACAACTAACTCATGGTATGGGCGAACATGCATTACGTTATGGTGAATTTGCTCGAACCCTCAACGCTAAAGGAATAGTTGTATATGCTCAAGATCAACGCGGTCATGGTGCTACAGCAACATTGACGAAGACCATAGGTAGTTTCGGACACGATGGATGGCAAATGCTTATCAATGACATACATTTACTGGTTCAATACGTCCGTTCAGAAAATCCAAATATTCCTTTGATTTTACTCGGACATAGTATGGGTTCTTTTGCTCTTCAGCAGTATTTACTCGATTATAGTAATGAGATCGATGCAGCTATACTCACGGGAACAGTTGCGTTGGATTTACTTGCAGCAGCATTCGATCCTGATCAACCATTCGAACTCAGTTCATTGAACACACCGTTTCAACCAGCAAGAACTGACTTCGACTGGCTAAGCCGAGATGTATCGATGGTCGATGCTTACATCAATGACCCTCTGTGTGGTTTTGGATTAGATAAAGAATCGATCAAAGGTATGTTCGCTGGCGGTCAACGTATGGTCAATACAGAAATTGTAAAACAGATTCGTAAAGATTTACCTATCTTTATATCAGTTGGCGAATTAGATCCAATACATCAACAAATGGTTGGGGTGCAAGTGCTGGTCGATCGTTTTCAAGCAGCAGGATTAAAAGACGTTACGCTTAAATCATACCCGGAGGCACGTCATGAAGTTTTAAATGAAACAAATCGTCAGGATATTGTCAATGATATCTTAGATTGGATTGAAAAGAAACTGTCACCATCAACGAAGCATTAATACTTCGAAAATTGTTATCATATCACTTATTCACCTCGATTTGAGAAATAAAATATTGATCGTTATTGCAACACTTGAACCAGTCAAAGTGTAACTGGTATTTAAATTGATCGAACCATTTGAGGTACAGACGAGAATTAGTCTTTTCTTTCCATGCAGACATCGCCGCTTTCAATAAACACCTTATTTAATAGACGCAAATAAACTTAATGTTGTTGCCGTGTCATTTTCTCCGCAGCAAAACTAGGGTTTGATTTTGCCCTTAGGACACCTCTGGTTCTATATATATATATGCGAATGTGAGAATCACGAAATATTAAAGATTTTCAATATTCAAATGGGAAACCGAGGCAGCAGAAATATTCGATCGACATGTAAGCGATTCGTCTTTTTCTTTAGGAAAGTTTCGAAAAATGAATTTCCTTATAGCCTTTACTGGAGCTGATGTAAATCACAGCAGTGAATACACTATGTCTCCAGTATCAACGGAAAAAGGAATGGCACGTGGAGCATTTATGGCAGCCAATCCAGGGGAAGCGCTGATTGGAAGAGCAATTCGCCCATTTGAGAACTAATTAGAATCAAACCGTTGATCCATTGATGGACGACGAGTTTTAGTGTACCACAGCGATTCTTATTTTTTTGTGAACTCCTACCCATAATAGAAACCCCGTCCCCTTTTAGAAATTCCTTAAATAAATTGAAGAATAGAGCTTTGCTGTTTAATGCCAGTATGATTTCATTATAATCGAGGAAACCGAGAGCATTGTCGTTTGCTTGTCAAATGCATTAGTACCTATTTCTGATTCAAGTACATCTATACATTTTAAAATGAATATTGGCCGATAGAAACCATTTGAGAAATACATGTCCTTTTAAGTCACACACACATATCGGCAACATATCTATATTATTTTATTTAATCTCGCCGGTCAAAACATGTGAACACGGTGTTTCAAAAAAAGATATAAGTTTATTTATGCAACAAGAGGAGGAATTGAATCACAGGCGTGTGGTTGATCTTCACGAGAGGTTTTAAAGCTACAAAGAAGTGATCGTCGACATGCATGAGTACATTGGGAACCATCTGCATTAGATTTCATGTAGTATTTATACACTGTTCCCATCAATGGTCCATCAATATCACTTTCAAGTCTCTTGATAAACCTATCCCAGTCAGCAGGAAAAAGATTTTCCATTTGATATGCATCTCGGACAGTGTATTCATTCTGTATGATTGTTCGATTGTAAAAATTTGTTGCTGTTAAATTCATGATCACAGTACGATGATCGAGTACCCAGTAAGAACTTTGCGGATAGTCACCATCAAGTGTGTACATTCGATAACCAGGATTTAAAAACGATTCGGTTGTCAACGATGGCGCGATGTATGCCTACAAAAATTTAGAATATCAAAAATATGTTTGGACAGGTAGTAAGAATACACTTACGATCGAAATAGGACGTTGATGATCATCTTTATCGTAGTACATATTGAATTCATCCGTATGGGTATGACCATAAAATTGTCCAGAGATCGTATTTTCAAATCTATTCAATAAATAGATATAATCATTGTATGATAACGTGTGTTAATTATCATACCGATTGACAATTCGATCAAAATTCCAGCCGAATGCAGCAAAACATTCTTTTGGTGGATGATGGGCGATGATGTGAACTTTTTCGCTATTTTTTTCTGCATATTGTAACCATTGTATCAACTAAAATACAAACAAGAATACTACTGACGTGAGCTCTTTTGTGTTTCATTTATTTGTACCCATTCAACTTGATTGAGTGGATCTGTCGAATTGATGAATAGCCAATAATTATCGTGATGATAATAATTTGTATTGAGTGAAATTATTCGTAAACCAGGACGAACAACTGTTGTATAAAAACCGCCACGAAGGATCGTTTCCCGTGTGTTGTTAGGTAGACCGAATGTATTTATCCAACTGTCAGCTAGTGCTTCGTATAACCAAGAGATATTATCTGTCTTAATGATAGGTGTTGGAAAAAGATTGCATGGAGCTGCTTCGTGGTTGCCCACAGCTGCATAAACTGTTCTATTTGGGAATGTTCGAGCCACCAAACCATTGATTGTGTAGATAGCATGGAGTTGATCAGCACGAGATTGATTCCATACATTGTGTGGTGGCGTATCACCAGTATAGTAAATAAAATCAACCTATGAAAAAGGAACAATGGATAAGGAAGATAATCGGGTTTTGTTTATCACCTCTTCTGTTCTTGCAGCGTATTCAATTATGGCTTGAGCCGTCCAGATTGGTATATCACAGTGAAGACTGGTTCCCCTAAAACAAGTATTCTTCGATATCGTACGTATCTCATGAGAAAGACAAACCAAAAGCCAGCAGCCGGACGACCAGGTACTACATTCATAAACAGAAGCAGATAGGTATGAATATATGCGTAAACATCACACTACTCACACGGTAGACCTTTTCGACAACACAATGGTTCTAAACAATTCGCTTCAGAGCCTGGTTTGTACTCGAAATCTACATGAATATCAGCCAATTGTAACATGTTCAGTTTTGGTGAACTAGGCTGTGAAACAAACGATATACAATTCAAATACCTTCGTTTAATTGAGTGAATATTTACAGAGGGTGGTTTGGGAGGTTGTGGAGTTGGTTTTCCATCAGGAATCGGTACAGTCCAATTCAAAGAAGGATAATCCGTTTGTTTTTCACAATTCAAAGTAATTGCACATAGTGCTTTATCAGTATACTCCGTCAGAGAAATAACTTGAAAAACGACGTCCTATTTGAAATAAAGACATGCATTGATAGACTTCATAGCAATGTTTTACTTTATATTCATGAACAGCGCCACTACAAACATCAAGAACCAGACTAAATTCTTTGCAAAGTTGTACAGTTATATTTTCAAATCGATCTGTTTGATTAGCATAGATAAGTAATCGTGCCTATGTGGAACAAATGATAATCAACGTTAAGAAAAACAATCGATCTTTACTCACAATGGGCAGAAGTATATGACACATTTTGCAATATATTTCCGGTGGATCGTTATATTGTTGAAACATCCATTTCAGTGCTTTCATATTATTCGAATGTTCGAATCGTTGACGATAATTAATTAGGGTAGAGAACTGTTTTGTGTCTATACTTGTCACATCATCTATCACTTCATCGATCGGATCTTCTATAATAACTCCAGCATCGATTGTTGTACAAACGGCAAGAGCGAAAAAAACGAATAGAGCAACTCTTTGCAAAGCCATCAGTGGTGAAATGGTAGAAAAACAGTGATAAACATCTTTCTTTTGTCAAGGACAGAAGCATTCGTCAGGTAACCATTATTTGTTAACGGGTTATCTTATCAAGCAACAGAAAATATACTTTTTTTATTTTAGAGAGACCTACATATATCGATCTTCGAGTATAAAATGACATCAATGAATAAAAAACGAATAAAAATTTTCCAGTATCCCACTTCATAATAAATGTTCGTTCATTCTTTCTACGAACAATTTCATTTATCAAAATATGGTGTGAAGAAGACTTGCTCACCTTTCAGAACGTTTTATTTGTGCTGACAATTCCTCTGATGATATCTTTTGGTAATATCGGCTGGATTCTCCATGTGATTATTTTTTCCTCAAGTTCTAAACTTCGTTCAAGTTCATGTTCACTCTATTTGACTTTCTCTTCGATAACATCTGTGAACTACTCCTGGTTTTATAAATTACAGTTTTATTGCGTTGACTTGTTTTTAATGTTACTCCGATCGTACATGCTATTAGCAGCGATGAATCGGGATGAAGAAAAGATTTTTCTAAGGTTTTACAAGACGAATGTTTTTAGGTATTTTACAAGCTGATCAAGTCAACATTGGTTTCTACATTTTGGTATCACAAAGACAATTATTCTCTTGAACTGCTTATTCTGGATGGCCATTTGCATCTACAGTTTGATCTTCTTTAATATAAAAATCTCCTCGAATGGAACCAACCGAGTTTGCACAAGTCAAATGAGTTTTTATTCGATTATAATCAATGGTTTATCTGCACCTGTATTAATGCTTCTGTTTGGTTTATTAACACTTTGGAATCTGAAGTGTTTACTGAAGAAAGTTTATTCAAACATTATCGAGTCAAATGAACGGCGAAAAAGAAAAGAATGAACACTCTCTCGAATGCTTTTTATTCAATTATTTGTCACAATTGTTCTAACAATGCCTATAACAATTTATTTATTTTATTCGGACTTGACGCAATATGATCAAAAATCGGCACTTCGATTGTTCGTAGAGAATTATATTTACCAAATATTGACTCTTTTACAATACATCAATGTATCGGCATAGCACTTCGTTTTTGGTTTATTGCAAGATCAATCTGTTCTTTTTCTCTTTTTAGAATTCATTTGTTATTTACTCATTAACGTCAAGAATATTTCGAACAGAACTTATTTATTTTTTGAAATATTATACGATTAAAGTTAACCAGACTTTTAGGAAGTATCTACAAATCTTGTTGACTTGATTACACGTGCTCCTACAATATGAGAAAAGATGACTTCCTACTTGGTGTTGTGGATCAAATCTTTTGAAATATTCATCCGCACATTTCGCTATAAGCGCGAATATCTTATTCACGTTCCAATTTAGCACAATGTTCTTATCTATATGTTGTCAGTAGCAATTTTTCTACTTCAAGACAGATATGATGAAAATGATGTCGTTCTGTACAGACTATCTGCAGAATCCACAGCGTAAATTATGTCTAACTATCTATTTACAATCTTGATTGTTTTACTCACTCTTTTCTTTCTTTTATGATGTAAAATTCACTTTGAAAAGACAACTAGCTATGTAGGATTGTTATTAACAGTACTTTTCCCTCACGGATCCTATCCTTTGAGAACGATTTAGGTAGATGTGATGTTATTTTGACTTTGCCATCGATTCGTAAGAAACACGCAAATATAATCTAGATTGTGAAGTAGAGAACGACAAAAGAATTACGAAATATTTCAGAGCGTGCGTGTTTCTTTTCTGTTTTCTTTCAGTATCGAGGCAAGTCATATATGAAAGAAAAAGAAAATGGACCATGTTTTTCTCTGATAGATACGAAGAGTGTATCAGTGACTAGTAATTGTGTAAGAAAAAAGTCATATCTATATAAATATGCAAACCACTGTCACATAGGAAGACACGTGGTGATCGTGCGGAATTTCAGTTGAAAGTTTTGTGCAATTTGGTTTTTAGAATGACTTCTGTAGAAGATCATGTTTCTACGTATGATTACGTCGTGATTGGTGGAGGAACAAGTGGTTCAGTTGTTGCACGACGTTTAGCAGAAAATGAAAAGCATTATAGTGTTTGTCTCTTAGAAGCTGGTCCCAGGTTCGTTGTTTTTCTACAAATTTTCACTTCATATCTGAATCATTGCTTCTATTTGATAGTCACGAAGATATTTACAATAGCCATATGCCTGGTGGAATGGGGGTGATTGATAGAACCAAATTAGATTGGAATTATGATATGGTGCTTCAAAAAGGATGCAACAATCGTAATCTAATTACTGTCCGAGGGCGCTTTCTTGGAGGTACCAGTGGAATGAACGGAACAGTGGTTATTCGTGGAGCTAAAGCGGATTATGATCGCATTGCTGATATGGGAAATCCAGGATGGAGCTGGCAAGAGATGATGCCTTATTTTAAAGCATCGGAAACATTCCATCCCGTCGATTGGCACCAAGCAGATTTATCTGTTCACGGTACCGATGGACCTTTACACACATCATTGCATCGTCTGGCACCTATCTCAGAGAAAACTCTTGAATCATTTATCGATTACGGTTTTCAGTACAAGCCAGATATGTTTGTTCAAGGTGAATACGAAGGTATGTCGGAAGTGTATCTTACTGAAAAGTATTGAGATACGATCATTCTAGGTGTTGGACATGCTATTCGCAGTGTTTACAATGGCGTTCGTAGTACAGGTGCAGATTTTGTGCACAACTGTAAGCTGGAAAATCTTACTGTAAAAACGGGAGTATTCGTCGATCGAATTATCGTGGATAATAATGGTAAATCGAATGCAGAAAATCGTGAATATAGAGCAGTTGGCGTGGAAGCACATGACGATGTTAACGGTCAACCAATGATCATAAAAGCAAGAAAAGAAATCATCTTGAGTGCTGGGTAAAAGACAGTTAGTTTCAAATAGCGCTTCATTTTTCTTTTCGCTTAGTGCTTATAACTCTCCGATGATCTTAATGCATTCAGGCATCGGTCCAAAAGAACATCTGACCGAAATGAATATTGATTGTAAGATTGATTTGCCTGGTGTTGGAGAAAATCTAATCGATCATCCTATTGTTAGTAGTCTTTCTTTCAGTTCATTTAGATGTTAATTTTTACTGCAATCTAGACTTTTACATCCTATCAAGTGAGCGATCCAAATCTTACCTTGGATCGACTGGTTTTTCATAATCCTGAAACTGTCCTCGCAGCAATCAAAGAATGGAATGAGACGAAAACGGGACTGATGTCAACAGTTCCATTCGATCCATTTGCACTGACACGAATTGATAAAACAATTCGCGATCCAGTTTGGGAAGCCGAGAAGTTGAAACAGCAGTGTGATGATCCATCAGGTCAATTACCAACCCAGCCTCACATTGAATTTCTTACTACTGAACTGTTTTCCGGTCCACCTCATTATGCCGAAGTAAATCCGAATAACCCGATCAATGGTGAAAGTGTTGTCACATTGATTACACTTCTGTGCAGACAACTATCAACGGGAACCATACGTTTGTCGTCCAATGATCCAACTAGCAAGCCGATCATTGATCACGCCTATCTTACGAACGATTTAGATGTAGCTGTACTTGCTGAAGGTTGTCGCATTGGTCATGAAGTGCTAACGAAGGGTCGAGCAACCAAAGACATTATCAGTGGGCCATGGCCAAAAACTGTGTCTATTCCGACCGATTTGGACGGTTGGAAAGAACATGTACGAGAATTCACGACTAGTTGTGGTCATCCAGGTGGTACATGTAAAATGGCACCCAGCAATGATCCTATGGGAGTCGTTGATCATCGTCTACGTGTTCGAAATGTGGAAAATTTGCGCGTAGCCGATGTGTCTATTATGCCTATACTTAATAGTGGACATACACAAGCACCTGCATATGCCATTGGCGAAAAGGTAGCAGATATGATTTTACAGGATGAATTGGTTTAAAAAAACTAGTTTTAATAAAGAAATAAATTAACATAACCAGAGTACCGTAACGCTATCGGTCCATTGCAAGTCTTCTGCATTTGTTTATAGAAGCATCAGCATGACTAGATAGTTTCTAGCACGATCGAATCTTCTAAAAAATGACGAAGGATAAATACTTCGTCATTCGCTCTTTCTACGCTTATCAACTGATAAATACAGCGTCACTGTTTTCTTTTTCTTTCCATTTCTATGTCAATTTCGAAATCTGAAATTATATTTTAGATCGATGGACAGTAACTTCCGATTATCATTTTTACTCGCATACATTCTTCTAAATATCATCAATGTGGTACAAACAGTTCCACACGGTTATTTATTAGGGTCGACCTATATACCTGGAGCAACATCAAACTCCTTATGTAAAATTGATCCATTGACTGGAAAGTTTTCAACACTTGCTGCATTGGACGATTACAAGGCTTATGATGTTACCTACGACTTTATTCATAAGGTTTTCTATGTCTTTGGTAGCAGAGCATTTGTTAACCGCGATACAGCAGATCTTTCGGTACTTGTGGTTAATCCATTCAATGGTACACAACAATACCGACCACTTCCCACTGAACCATTTGTTGACTTATTTGGTTTACGTGTTGATAGTAGTACAGGAAAATTGTATACATTACGAATGAGTGACGTTGAAGATGATCCTGTAAGTATCATACAAATAGACCCTGTAGATTTCAAAGTTAAACGATGGGTTAATATTACAAAATCCACTGGTGTACAACCTAATTCAATGACCATATTTTACAATGCAACAGATCATCGATACTTCGTGACAGTGGCATCCGAGTCTTTCGATAATGCACTTGTAGGTATTGATGTCGTGCGTCGCAAAGAAATCAGTCGAATTGTTAAACACAGTTTACCAGCTTATTTATGTTACGATAATATAACAAACGCTTTTTATGGTATACAAGAAACGGAAGGCAAGCGTGGTTGTCGGTTAATCCGTTTGAATCCCTACAATGGTACAATGGAAGTTTTATCTCATGATTTTAATGATTATTTAGCATCGACTGGAACTTGTTATGATGGATTTTATTTTACAATGATTGTGAAAAATCTCAATACGCAAAAAATAGTGACATTCGATTTGACAAATCATGGCAAAATTGTAGCGAGCAATCCAGCGGAAAGCTACTTAGATGCATTCGCATTTGTTCCTATTTAAAACTTTTAAAAGTATATGTGTGATAAAGCGAAGCGAAAATGTCTTTTTCAAAATAGCAAAGCTTGTAATCTTGTTCGATACTGTTTCATGGATTGCCAGAACTCTTCTTTATACGCCTTCGATGGTACGATGAATATGACAGAGGTGAGAATCGATGGAATGAATGAAATAAAATAACCAGTAAGAAGCAATTCCGAATCGTTGACTGATTTCATACAACCGGAAACAAACGATATGATTAGATGTGGTAAAGCAAGAACGACTAGAATAACCGATGAAGTAAACAGATGACGATGTGCCCGTATTTGTGCAATAACCAGCCGAAAATATTGTTGATCAGGTGCGAGATCTACTCGTCGTTGAGCTGTTTTGACAATGATGATAATTGTAGTGAGGATATTGATGATAAAAGGCACAAATGAATGAAAAATATTTAGAAATGAATTTAGAAACTTGACAGTAGGTGGGTAAACAACAATACACCAGATTCGTTTTCTTTCTTCATCATTATCATCTTCATCGATCAGACGGCGATGAAATGGATCATGAAGGGTTGTCAGAGTACCGAAAATGACAACGAACGGAGTAACATACGTCGCTATTTGTTTGCTCTTCGCTTGGTTGAATTTGACGCCTTCGAGAGCAACTATGACTCGTTCAATTGCCACACATGCTTGTAACCATTGAGTTATTTGAATACTACTGCGTAGAAGAAAATCAATTGAAACACATTGACAACGTAAAAACAATTGATTCGTCAGATATGTTCTTTGTGCGATAAATAGAATAAAAAATTTCAATGCAAAAAATACAATCGTAACTATATTGCCAATCGATGTATACAACAAATACATTCCACAACCGTTCTGTCGTAATTTTTTGCTCTTAAACGTAACTATCATCAGAATGCCATTAATCATTCCAGCGATGGTAATAATACTCGTAAATGCTAAACTGATATTGACAATTAAAGATTGTCGGTAGATGCTGATATGAGGTTGAATGTGATAACCTAAAATTCCGTCAAGTGTCAGACCGAATCCGTCGGATGAAAATTGACATCGAGTGCCGTAGTAACACGATGGACAGATGCACATGGATGTTTTGGGACAAGTCGATCTGTCTTGAACACATTGCGCTCCATTTTCACAATTGCTTCGACCGAAACAATCGTATTGTTTCCTTTGATCGAATTCGAAACAGTTCGCTAAACGTTGATGATCAAAGTCAGTGCATAAACAAAAGAAATCAATATCTGAGAAGCATAGTAAATGTGCATGCTGTCGACATACGAAATGGTAATATTTTATTCGACGAATTAAATGTGATTCAGCAATACTTGTCTCTACTAATTCATTGAAACGTTTGCAACGATTTGTTGTATTAATCGTGTAAAAGATTTCCGCCGATGCGTCGTACGTCTTTTGAACGGTAATTAAATGAAAAATTTTATTTGTCAATTCCAGAAAAGCGACATGAAATGAATGTGCCCAATAAACGATCGTTGTTTTTTTTATGAATGGAATTCGTAACTAAAACAGATCCATTTTTTGGATCGCTTTGATTAACAACTTCAATAAAATGAACTGTCATCGTCTGCGGCAAAACGATATTTTTATCATACGATAAGATTATCTTCGTAGTTGGATGTTCACATTTACTACCTGTGAAACCTTTTCGACATCGACAATAGAATGATTGATTAACTATTCGATGTTGATCAAGAGGAATACATTGGCCATTGTTTAAACATGGATTCGATTTACATACGGAATTGTCCAGCAAACATCGAGAACCAAATTTGTCTATTGGACAAAGACAAATCGATCGATTGGTAGCTGTGATACCAGTACAAATAGATCCATTCGAACAGGTACAATTATATTGAATAGAACAATGTTGACCAGACCATCCCGGATGACATTGACAGAAAGTGGTTTGTTTGGTGTCATTAGCATATTTGACACACTGCCCATGAACGCAGTATTCGTCAAAGCAATCAATCAATTCTTCATTGACGCGTGGAATGGTCAGCAGAGTAGCGATGCGATTCACCGGGAGAAATGGAAACTGAATTGGTATTAATATACTTCCTCGATAGTTTAGAAGGTTCTTGTCGTAAATATCAATATGTATCGAATAGTTTTTCGAGTTGTCATTTGTTTGATTCGAATAAAGTAGATAATTATTAAATTTGATCTCACAATCTCGAGCGTGAAGAAAAGTGTACTGTTGGTACGAATGAACAGTTCGTTGTTCACTACTGTCAATAAGAAAAATGAGAATACTAAATAATGTTTGTTGAGAATCGGAGTACACTTGAAATTTCAACGAAAGACTCACGCGTTGATTCTGATATTGACAAATATTCCCATAGAAACTCGGTGGGCAAAGGCATGTGGTATTCGTTAAATTTTTCTCTCGATCGATCCAAACGATTAGCGGTAAGCCGCGATGGCAACGCTGATTGTATTGGACTGCTTTCAAAGGTTCCATCTTCAATGTGTTGTCTATTACAGGTTGTTCGACTACGTCCAATGCGAAATGAATCGGAAGTATTCTCGTCTGCTGTATATTTTGTTCATATGCAAATGTGGAAAAGTTATAATCTGTCGGCGAACAAAATCGACCATACTCAGTATGAAATATTGTTAAGTCGGACGTTCGGCGGCACATATTTGGAAGATAGAACGTATTACACTCTATCTCCGATGCATAAGCTTGTTGAAGATATATACATTCTTCCAATGGAGGATCCACGCATAAATCCTCGTCAAACTTGACTAAATATGCGTTCGATCGACAAACTTGTTTTTGATCGTCCAAATCTAAGCAATTTAGAATATCAACACTACCATTTTTTACAGGAAAACATAGGTCTCTGGCATATTCCAAATGTATGCACATATGCTCAGGCATACAAAGTAGTGACGGTTGACAATTAACTTCATCTGCTCCATTCGCGCAATTCCAATTGTTATCACATCGTGTATAAGTATTATTACACGCCCATAGATCACATCCAGTTTCGTCAGTTTCGTTTTTTCCGTCGATAAGGATAGGTAATAAATCAGGAAAACCATCACAAGTCATGGGAAATGCAATCCGCTTTCTAATAGTATGAAGAATCAAATCTTTATCTTCACACAAACCATTTTCATCTTCCCCACAGTCACATTCTCGGTCATAAAGCTTCTTCCTGTGGATACATTTATTCGTCGATGTACAATAATAAAATATATTCAATCGGTCCTTCGAACAAATCTCGTCAATAACAATCTGCTTTTCATCGTCGTCTTGACGACAATCAACGTGTCCATCGCCAATTTGTTGGTAACTGATGCATTTCGACGTATTAGCACAACGATAAACCGATGAACCATTGCATATGTCAACAATACCGTTGCATTTCGAGAAAAATTTAAATGCAGGGAGAACAAATCTTGTCAACCAATCTTGAGCAAACAGATTAACTGCCACTGGAAAATCCAACGGAGAACGGCATGTAAGATTATTTAATACTATCTTTGTTTTATTAGAAATAAATCCTTGACATAATCGATCATCGTAACAAATGTACGTAGGTCGATTAATTCTTCTGAGTGGCGATCCAAGAGACAGATTACGAGCAGTTTGTTTTGTATAAACAAAATAGACGTGACCAAAAAAGAGTGGCGTATTTGGAATGAATAACATATCAGGACATATGGTGCTGTTAATGATATCGAAACATGTTTCCGTATTTGGACAAAGAATATTACATATGCGATGGTATTGATGAATAATAGCAAAATAACATTGATATGCATACCAACACTGATCAGATACGAACTCTGGTTTACTGGTTACCATAAGATCACGAATAATTGACTGACGTTTGGGTTCACATGAACTGGTTAGTAGAATTGTTAATCGATCAATTCTTTCGCATCTGATATCTTCATTGGAAAAGATGGGTTGCATCGTACGTTTACCATTTGTTTTCGAGTAAATTGAATACTCATCCACCTTGTCCAAACAATTATAAGCGGTCTCGAAAGAGTCTTGACGAAATATGTCAGGTATGCATTGTCCAGTTTTACATCGATATTCGTTCGCATCGCATTGATTCAATTCTAATTGTCCACAATATTTCTCATCAACAGCATCGTTTAAACAATCGACTTGCCCATCACAAATTTCTGTCCAATCAAGACACATCTCCGGCAAACCTCGGTCGCATTTTAAATGCATATAACACGTCAATGTCGTCGGAGCGTATTCTACTGAGTAGTATCTTTCAATAATATCTTTCAACGAGAAATCCGACGATTCGAATCCTTCGAACGAGTATTGACATTGCGGACCAAATCTTGGTAATGTGCAGTTATAAACAACTCGTTCAGATAAATATGAAGTATTCTTGTGATTCAAATAGAATTGATAATGTTCAATTAGATCGATTGGTGCTGACCAATCGTATAATTGTTCACTGGTAATACTAAGATTCGATAACGTTGCAAACGTGTATTTTTGTACAGCAGAATTCTCTTGAATATCCCATTTTGTTGGCCATTCGCTTAAACAATATGGAATGATTTGTAAAGGTTCATTGAAGTAACCTGTGTCGACAAGAAGATAAAAACAATCGTGTTCCCATCCAACACTATCTCTTGTGTAATCAGTAATTTCAAGATGAAATTGCGATCGAATTAATGTGAGATAAAACAACGTCAAATATAGAGCTTTTCTTATCAAAACCATTTTAATAATGACTAATGAAATAAGTTTTACCTCTCTTTCTCTCTAGATTAGAGTGTTTAATATTGAATTAACTGCTTTACCTTTCTTTAACTTCCTCACGCAAACTGAGTTATGTTTTATTCGCAATTAGTTGCTTTTCAAATCAGTAAATAAATAATCTATTCATCTAAAATGTATTTCCGGTAGAAAAAAAAAGAGTTCTATTTTCTCTAGAGCTAAATGCCACATCGGATCAATTCTTCACAAAACGCTTTTCAGCATTAGCATAGGCATGGACAACGTTCTCAACCGTTGCAATAAACGGTTTGGAAGCGTGTCGTGCATCGTTGTTCATTTGTATAATGAGCTCTTGTATGAAGTAATGGAGCATTCTCGGTGTTTTGAGCCGGTCGATGTATTTAGGTATAGATTTATCCGAATAATTAACCAGTGTTTCAAAATTTGGTAATGATTTACAACGATCATATGACGCTTTTTCGTTCATATGTCTGAGAACATAATCAGCGTAGTTAAATAACGAGTTTTTTGTCCATTTGATTTCATAAACAGGGAATTTATCGACTCTCCCAATCGCATCCTCGATTTTAAAGTCACCGATTTTAGGGTAAAACATGGATAGATGGAAATTATTTGCCATGACTTGTGTGATAATTTGGTTCGAAACGGATGTCCGACAAAATGCTTCTAATGAATCTTTATTTGGTTTATTATTTTGAAAGAAATACTCGTTTTCATCAATTCCATCGATGATAAACACAGGTATTCGGTGTAATTTGTCTCGGAAAAATAATGTTAATTCACGTAAATCATTAAAAATATTTTCTTCTAACTGTATATTCTCAAACTGGTTTTTGACTTGTTGACCAGCGATAACACCGTATAGCAAACGAATACGTGTAGGATTTGGATCAAGAGCTAAAAGTCGATTTGCTTCGTTTATGAAATGAGTATATAGTTTCTCGTTGTAAGCGACACCTTTTTCCATATATTGATGTTGAATTTCGTTGGTTTTATACTTGGTACCGAGAATTCTATTAACGAAAGTTTCCAATTCAACTGTCCCTACTGCGCTGTAGTAGGAAATAATAGTTGTGATTAGTCGCATCTGCTTTTCGATGGAAAGTTCGAATAATGGCTGTAATTCTGTATTCGACATTTTGGGAAATACTTCGATAAATCTTGTAACTAATGACGATAAAAGTAATTGACCGTACTCATTTTCTGTCCAATCTTTTAAACAGTTCTTCTCTCGACATACAGTCGTGTTCGTTTCGATTTTCTTAACGAATGTTTCTAGATATCCACTAATTTGTTTATTCAATATTAAAACAGGAAAGTATTTTGTAGGTGATAACGTTTGATTGTATTTACATCGTATGAGTGTTTTGCCGGTCCCATAGGGTGCTAGTGTTAGAAATGAACTTGCTGAGTTGTCTGATTGTAAGATTCCTTGAGGTAATGCTGGCCGATAGATAATGTCCGATTGACAATCATCAGCAGTAGCTTTCGTAAACGGATTCGTTTGTCCACCGAGACCGTAATACCTTTCAAAATCTCGGTTTTCAGCGTTTTCCATTGAACACGATACGTCTTTGGGTGCAAGATAAATGAAACAACCTACGACAAATAACACAATGCTTATGATGCTTCCTTTTGATAAACCAGAAAGTGCTCCGTCATTTGGATTTTCTACTCTAATTTCAGGTTCTGGAGCATTTCGGTTGTCATTGTGAGATCGATTATTATCTGGTATGTGTCGATGTTTCATCTCGTTGGTAGTAACTGGTTCCATTTGAAATACTTCTAAAATAATGTCAAAACGAAGAGAATTCACATATATTCGATCGATAGTATTGAGAAGGCAAATAATATTTCACATAAAAGTGTCACAAAAATTATCGTGTTTATATATACTTTGATCACGTACAACAGGGTTTTTTTCATTCACGTATCGCGACGTGTACAGAGTATCCACCAGTGATAGCAGTTTTCGTGAATAATTGCATTGGCTATGAACTTTAAAAGAATGAGTACTAGGAAAAAAGCAACAGATAAAAGACTTTTTTGTCGACCGAAATGAATACATAGATAAGTACATGTGCGAATGAAAAAAGAAAACAAAAAACAAATATCACATAAGAAAATATAGCATTCTTATTGTCGTTTTTGATAAGAAAAACGTTCGGTTTACGCTCAACTGAATAACTGCTAAGAATAATCATTTTCGATAGTGTGAATGAGAATAATTGTTTGAATACAAAAATCTATCTATTCTATCAGAATGATATAATCTCTTATTGTTTTGTGATGATGTTTTCTCAGAGAATATTGTCGATAGCCACTGCCATTTGTATACATCTATGATTGTTGGAAGAGTGTAGTATCTGCAGCTCACACATGAACTGTTATTCAGAAAGTGAATGAACTCTAATTTAGTCATAAGTTATGTTCTGCACTACCGCTAAGCTCTTCCTGATAGAATGTGATCATGTCGATCATCATAATCATACAAAAAGACGGATGTCTTTAGTTTTTGCATCGGAACACTCATTAATTGTTGAAAAGAGTTTTCTTTCTAGCAGCCTTTCAACAATAAGTGCAATCATTTATCGACCTTTATCTTGCTCAGAATAGCCATATCATTGGTTTGTAGAATAAAACATCCGAGATGTATTTTTCATTGTGTCTCAGTTCTGATGGTCATACGCCTTGTGATGATTCATATTTTTCTTTAAAGATAGGATTAGAAAATACGCGTATTTAATGTTAGTCTTGTTATAGATATTGAATTATTGTTTATCATCGTGTTTGTCTTCGTTATCAGCTACTTTCATGTAGTTATCAATTAAGTCACCAATGAGATCGCCAATTTCGGTATCGAATGTGAATTTCTTCGACGAATGTCCCATACGCACTTCGAGAAACAACGAAATCGCATTAGAATTGAAATTCAAGTTGTAATACGGATATATCGCCACAAATTCCTATGATCAGAGAACTTAATTGCATATTATCGAATGTTTAGTCTTACCTTTGTAACAGCGTCTAAAATGCTAACACCGTTTTGATTGATACAGATATAGATATCTTCAGGAAATTCGGCTTCGGTTTCATTCTAAACGAGAGTGAGGAGAATAGTCAGTTCATCATTGAACTTACTTTGATTGGAAACATTGCTGTTCCGTAAGTTGGCCAGCTGTCAACATGTTTCAAAAAGCGAATCTTGGCTTCATCGTCATTAACTTCTCGAAGGTTACTCGATGCAGCAGTATAGATTTTCTAAGCAAGCAATCGAATTAGTGAACCTAAATATCGACGTTTTTGTTTATCTACCTTGGACCATTCAGATTGTGAAATCGATTTGATCAAATATCCCGGAACAAACTGTGTCAAATTTGCTCTGAACGAAAGAAAGCATCGATCAGAATTGTAATATTTTTCTCATTTTCATTTACTCAGGAGCGCCTTTACCAGCACGATCAGCTCTACCCAATAGAGCAGCTAAATTAGCCGCTTCATCGACTTCTAGTTTATGTAAGCCCAATAAGTAATTGTCTCTTTCTTGATAGAAATGAATGAATGCATCCGCTTGTTTATCTTCACCCGGTATGATATCAATCCAAAGTTTTCGACGAAAATGTATCTTATAATGCAGTTCCTCTGCAAAAATACTAACCATACATGAACCAAATCAATGACATACATTACTTACCCTTATCATGTCCACGAAGTTGAGTGAGAAAATCGAAGAAGTACTTATTATTCGGTATGCTGATTTCTATGAATGAATGAGTGTAATTTTAGGAAGTTCAGTAGGTGAATCTAACCTTTTTTGTTCGTTTCTAGATACAATGAAAGTCCCATGACTGAGTTCGACAGAAATTTGAGTTCTCGACAGATATCCGCAACTAATTCGCTGGCTTTTGTCGTTGAGTCAACAACAAAATCTTGTTCGTAACCATTAGGAAAATGAACATATTGTCGAATTTGCACCCGATTGATATTTGCATTACATTCAATGATATGCGGACCACGTTCACGTTCACCTTGTCTATACAAATGAAAATGATTTAATTATTTGAGAAAAGAAAATTTACTTTTGAATCTTCTGAATACGATTATAACACTCCGATGCCGTGGGATTCGAACTTGAACGAAGAAATAGTGCCACATGATGGAAAAGAACTTTGCCCGGTACGAGAACACCTGTCAAAAGCCATAACAATTCCCAGATACGTGCTTCAATTCTCATGTCTTGACAGAATGTTAATTGTTTAATCAATTGACAGTACAATTCTTCTTTCAATACTTTCTAAACATTTGTTTTTCTTTCTCAATCATCAATTTCTACTATTCTCATCTGAAACTTACATTTTTTTCAAATACATAATCAAATATACTATCCAAATGACTCTGTTGAATCGTCTTTCGATCTTGCGGAGACATGTTTGCATACGCCATAACAGCACGAAACATCTGCACAGCTTGATGTGACAATGCAGTCTCGCCATCAAAACGCTGCAATAATGGTCCCTTGATTTCTTTTGATTCATATTGCCATGCAGTGATTTTCTTCGACCGAAAGTATTTCTCTGCATACGCTTGTAGCGTATGTAGGTTAAAGTGCGTTTGTGGTTCATATTCTTGATTCAAGTTTACAGCACGGTTCATAACATGTAAAACAAGTCCATGCTAAATGAAGCAATGTTGATCGAATACAAAAGTTGAAATGGAAGTGTTCTTACTAAAATTTTCGAGTCGGGTTTGCTTGTACATGGAATAGTATAGACAACATCGGCAGGAAATTCACCTTCCTGATTTGTTCGATCGTTTATACCAGTCATCATACCTGATTCTATATTTTTCTTACTTTCTTCGTCGAGAACAATGATGTCACCACGGAGTAATTCTAGTTTGCCTGCGCCACGTTCTAATCAATGGAATAGATATGATGATCAAAGAAATTGAGTGATTGTTACGATGTACTTACTCGCTGGTTTATAATCGTTTTGAGCAATAGCTAATTTCGAGCGATCCTTCAGGTTCTTATGAATCTGATTGATCAAAATTCCGAGATCTGCACTCACTATACACGTATATGTCAAATTGTACATTCGAATGGAAATATATCGAAAAGAATTTACTTGGTAATGTAAAAGTATAATCACCATACACTGTTTGCAGAGTATAATGATAATAATTCAGAACAGGATCACTAAAAACAAAAGAAAAACTCAAAACTTCTTCTCTCATTCGTGTCAAAATTACTGATCACAAATAATTTCAGTTATTTCAGAATAATTAACTTCACCAAGTAATATCAACTTATCATCGATAAAAAGACGAATCTTATCTTTTCCAATGGAAATACTCGCGATGGGAATTTCACCAATCAACGATCCGGAAAGCATATAAATTTCAAAAACACGAGAGAAGGTCACTGGCCATCTTTCTTGTGCATAAACAATAACATCTTTTTTAATTTCACGTTTGATTTGATCACGACTTTTGTATTTTTGTTTCAAACGTTTGACAACACGTTTGAACTAAAATGAAAATCGAAATGATCGATTCGATTTTGAAGATGAATTCAACTCACGTCAACATCTTGCTGGATAGCAACTTGAACGGATGCTTCGATTTCTTTTTCACTTGTACTTTCCTTACCATCATTATTCAATAGATTTCCTGGCGATGTTGGCATTATGTCCAGAATGAGCCGTTTCATTTTCTCCGGTTCAACATCTTTTCCATACGTTATATAATAATGTTGAACAGCAAGTAAAATAAATTCGACTGGGTCGTAATTATCACCATAAACATAAGTATTCAAACGAATACCTATTATGACATCATAAAGACATAGTTTTCAATGACGAAAAATGATTGTTAGGATTTACCGTTGATAATTTGGTCATAGATCAAATCTATAGCGATTGGATCTTCATCGAGATTTTCCCATGGAGCAAACAGTTGTTTACAAAAGATATATCTAACTTCGATATCTCGTGGATCTCCACCCTTACGCAATTGTTCCATTTTCAATCGAGATGATGTGTCGAATATATGATCATTATTTAATCCAAGAGAACATCCCGAAAATGTCCAAAGTGATTTCTTTCGGAG